ATTTTCACTAAGTAGCCGGGATTCTAGCCTCATCAAGCACTGAATTTCTCGCGCCGAAAGGTGGAGGGCCCAAACTCTAGGTTAATAATTGTGATTTTAAAAAAAAAAAAAAAAAGAAGTTGAAAAAGTAATAAAAAGCGAGACTTCTCCCAAAATGTGAGAAGTGAGAAATGATTAGATGATTGTTGTCTTGATTTGTAACCTAGTTAATTTGAGCTTGTAAGTCCGTAGGGGAATTTGAAAGCCTAATGCCTTAAAGTCATCTGGTTTGGGAGTCATTGATCTAACGCTCGACCTCATGAATCGGTAGAAAGCTTAATAGATCAAAACATTGCACCATGCTTCCATCTTTGATCCTATAAAAAAATAAATAAATAAATAAATAATATCGAGTGAAAAGAATAAGCGCACCTAGAACAATAAAGTTTTAATAAAAGGTCCACTTTTTGTCTTGATGATCGGTATTAGATTTGTGTGCTAGTTTGAGGGTAAGGATATGATCATTTCTCAAGTTGACTAAGATAACAACACATTTGATGTGGTCCACTCAAAAAGGATTCTAGAATTGTTTTGATTTGCATGATCATTTTCTTGATGTGTGGAGGTCCATACTTGTTTGCTTGATGTTGAGATTTTGGGAGATTGCTTAGAAATATTTGAAAAATTGCATACTTGAGGTAGTTTTCTCCCAATGCTTATTTGCAATATTGGTACCTCTTTTGAAAAAATGAGCTTAATGTTTGTGGGTATCATTTCTGGAAACCTTCACGAGACTTCACTCGTCCACTAGGGGTAACCTAGGGGTTTAAAAGGCTTGTTGAATGTGCTAAGTGCAATCGTGTTCCCTACGAAAGTGGCATTATCCATTTATTGTTTTCTAGATTCATACTTGTATAGTTGTTCATTTCATTCCTTTACTTTCTAGTTCATTACTAAGGACTAGCAATATTTAAGTTTGGGGGTGTGATGAATACTGAAAAGTGCGTATTTAAACCCCTTAAACTTAGGCATTCTAGTACCTTTATCTATCTTACTTTACCGTTTTAGATTGATTTCGTATTATTTTCATTTTCAAGTACTTATCCCGAAAGTAAGCTAACTCAGCCAATTAAGAGCTTAATTGAAGCAATTCTGGGATTAAATAAAGAAAGAAGCAAATGAAGCCAAAGGTGGGAAGCAGTAAAGTTCAATCGATTCAATTTCAAGGTTCGATCGATTGAACACTGATCGATCTCAGTACTTCAAGATAGATCCAAACCTTAATCCAAAGCAGAAAGTCCAAAGTTCGATCGATCCAACATCACCCTTCGATCGATCGAACACTTTTGTCCTTATTAAAATAATTGATCTTATCCACAACTGTACCACTCACTAACCACTTTTGTCCTTTTTCCCATAAATATCTCCCCAAAATATCTCGGATTTGTCTTTTCCCAAAAAGCTCAACCAGTTAGATCGATCCAGCCTAAGTTCGATAGATCTCAGCTAAGTTCGATCGATCGAACTTCCTCCAATGCGAAAAAGTCAAAAAGCCAGCCTGTTCAATTCGTCCTCTATCCAATCATTAGAGAATATTCTTTGCACGACCCCAGCTCATTTTGTGTGTCACTTGACCTACCTATAAAAGAAATATGATGCACTTTTTGAGGGAGACACTTAGCATTTGGTAGATACAACTTTAGAGGCTATTCTTAGTGTAGAAGAAAAGAGAAGGATGCTAGAGACACAAAAGGGGGAGTTCTTCATCAACAAGGAGCAGATTTCTTCCATGGAGTTAGCCCTTGAGGGTTGGAGCAACATCACCATGAGTGGCTAGACATCCTCTTGGGGCTAAAGTTAGCCCCAATCATACTTTCTATATCTTAATCTTGTGTATTATTGAGGGATTAGTGTTGTAATTAATGTTTTGACTCTTTGATATATATATAGATCTTGATTATTCAATGATTTATGTGATTAAATGCTTTCAATTGATCATTTCATTTTATCCATATGTCTATGTATGTTAGAATAGATGTTCATGTGTTTGTCTCAAGATTTTGTGTTATTGATGGTTGTCTATGTGTATTGATGCTATAGATTTAGAGATTGTCAAAACATAGTGCTTAATGGAATACTCATGTGATTTTCTTGATGGTTCATACTTATTCCTTGGTGGATTATGCCTCTCCCCTAATTTATTTTCATGCTAGTAATGTAGATGTAGTGTAGTTGTAGTGTAGTGTTAAATGGGAGGACAATCCATGCTTGTTGTTTGATGATCCAAGCTTTTGAATGCAAGTAGCATATGTCTCTAACTTTGTGTTGTATTTGGATCGTGAGCTTAATGAAATGATTAATAACTTGTTTTGATCTATTGTGCCTTTCACATGTTGTTTAGACAATATATGCTTCATTACTTAGATATATTGTGCCTTTCACGTGATATTTAGACAATACATGCTTAACTAGTCATCCTTACTTGTTGAATCAACCAAACACACACACACACCAATATTGCAACACACCATTTGCCCTCATTAGTCACTTGTCAATGGTATAGAAATGCATTGCTTGGTGGTGATCTCTAAACCCCAAGACTTTTCTCTCTCTTACTTACTCCTAGTTGCATTCTTTTGTTATCACTTAGTTTAATTTAATTGCTCTCTAGTCTAATCAACCAACTAACCAATTGTTTGATCACTCGACCTACTATCTCTAATAGCGATTCCACAACCATCCCTTGGGACGATCCCTACTCGTCCTTGCTACGTTAGTAGTAGTGTTAGTAGTGGTTTTTATAAATTTAAACTTGACTCAAAAGGCTTTTCTTGAACCGCACATTCACTACATTATTTTGGCGTATATCAAGCGGCCTCGTCAATGTTGTTATAGAGATTCTAGGGTTTCAAGCCTTGAAACAATTATGAAAAAGTGAGCTGCAGCTATTTTCTCTTGAGAGCTTCATATGATCAAGTTTTTCAGTGTTGTTTGATGATGATCCAAGCCAGAAAAACCCATTGATTCAAGCCTTATGAGTGTATTAATTGAGAAGATGTTAATGCTGTCAATTTTACTGGTGTAAGGGCTGGATTGAGGTGTGAATAATTGTTCCAAGCTTTTGTGGTTTCATCTGAGGGCTGTCATAGGTATATTTGAGCTTATTACACTTGTTTAGCCTTGAGTTTTGAACCAAAACATGCTGAAAGTGAATTTAAACTCTAAGACCCGTGTTTAAGCTAGTTTTCTAGTTTATTTCTATGATTCAAGTTTAAAATGATTAAGTCTTGTTATTCCATAATTTATCTAAGTGTTAGCAAGTATATTTTGGTGAATCAAAACTGTTGAAATTGGCTGTGGGACAGAATTGTGGTATGCTGTTGTCTTGAGTGTTCAAAACCCTAAGTGTGAATTGTGTTTTGCTGATTTGTGTATTGAGAATAAAGTTTGTGATATACTCATGCCGTTCTTCATTGTTTAAATTTATGAACATGAGTAATACAGTGAAACAAGACTATGTAAGGTGCTGCTTCTCGAAGGGAAATTTCATTTTCACCCCTCAAACCCTAGCTTCAACATAAAGGGTTTTGGAGGCTGTATCTTGGAGTTTTGAGCTATTTACCTATTTCGATTATAGGAAGGACTTGTTTATATTGTTTTACATCTGCTATGGTGTATGTGGTGAGCTGTGAGAGCTTATTTGGTCCAAGAAAGGTTGCTTAGGACAGGGGGAGTGCGTGTGTACACTATATTGAGCTAGTGTGTGAGTAGAGTGTGTGAAAACTAGTGTCTATTCTTATACAAAGGTGTGTGCAGAGAGTGAGACATCTAAGTGTGTAACAACTTACTTACAGCTAGTGGATGATTGAATTGGCAGTAGCCAAGAACCAAGATTTTCCCTAATTTAGAGGGTTTCCTTATATATCTTATTTCAGTGCTCTTAGTGTACTTGTTTTAATTGCTTTCAAGAATATAAATTGAATGATTTGACCAATTCAACCCCCCCTCCCTTCTTGGTCCAACAATTGATATCAGAGCTTTGGTCTACTTTGTAAGGTTCTAACAAGCCTGCAGTTGATCCTTGCAATGGATAAAGGCCAAGTTACAAACAAAGCTCCAGGGTTTAGTGGTTTAAATTATGATTCATGGAAAACCAAAATGGAGGCCTTCTTAATGTCTCACTCTTATGATGTTTGGCATGCTAAGTTTCACAAAATTTCATGTAGAAGTTTAATTATAGCTCATTATTGATTGTCAATTACAAACCTTCACATACTTGAGGCCACCTCAGGGATTTTTTTGGTAATTTGCATGTGGGACGAGGGACTACATATACTCGATGATGGATTATGGGTGCTCTAAGAGGTCCGACATTACCATCGTTGACCAAAAAAAAATTTTAATTTCAGCCTACAAGGATGATTCAGTCATCGGCTTTTATGTTGATTGGAATCACTCAAACTAGGCAAAGATTTTGATTGGAGGGATGGAAAAATTGATGAAAGGGAGAGGAGAAGGGATTGATGAGGCATCCCTAGGGAAGGGAAGATGTCTCCTTCAAATTTTATTTGGTTGGATGGAATGGATAGTAGAAATGATGGATAAGGTGACACGTTAATTTTTTTTGGTTGGAAGGAAGGGAAAGAGGGTTTTTATATTCTTTTTACCAATATACCATTATTATTTAAAATTATAAAAATTCTATATTTATTCCAAGTTTATAGGAAGGCTAGAAATGGAAAATACATATTTTTGTTAATTGTTACTTCTCTCTCTCCTCTTCCTCCCAATTTTGGGTGGATAGAAAAATACAAAGAAAGGAGGGATGCTTCATCCCTCGTTGCTTCCTCCCTCTTTTCCCTTCCCTCCAACCAAACACGGAAAAGTAGCTTTATCCACCCTCTCATCCATCCCTCCTCAATCCCTCCCTCCAAACAAACACAGCAAATGTCACTGTAAATCACATTTTAATTCTAAAAAAGCATCCAGTAGATCACAAGATACACATATTACAGGTATAATAAATGGTTAACGACTAAAAGTAAATAAATAGAAGGTCAAAAATCAACAGACATACTTACAAAGATTCACAATATATATATATATATCTCCAACACACACACACACATTGGCAATGGCATAAACCATACAGCATATTTAGGAAACAACTTTACCTGAAAAGTCAGTACATCCATGACAAGTCTTGTTTGTAAGTTACTGATTTTGCAGCTCCTTGAACACCCCTTTCAGATATTTGTGGACAATCTTCCACAGCTAAAACTTCCAATTTTTCTGACCCCACAAGTGGCTTTAACCCATCATCGGTGACTCCCAAACACCTGTTAAGCCGTAAAACGCACAACTGAGGGAACTGGCTCACAAGCTGCAGTCCCTCATCACTAATTTCTTGGCATCTCACCAGCTCTAGAGTGTGAAGATATTGAACCGAGCAAAGAGCTTCCATCCCGGCATCATTAAAAGAATACACATGATCAAGAGCAAGTTCCTGAATTGGGCACTTCTGTAACAAAGTCAATATTCCATTTAAAGTAAATGAGGAGATGGACAGAAACTCCCCATCCGAAAACGATAACATGACTGACACAAGCCGCGGGCAGTTCTGAGCCACTGCCTTTAAACTCTTGTCCGTTAATCTTAACGGATTGTTAATTAACAGCGGAAGTGATAAATCTGAAGGGACTCGGAGGGAAAGGGACCGAAGATTACTTGAGTTTTGGGCCAAGACAATTATGTCACAATCTCTCAACCCCACACAAAGGTCCAATTGAACCCTCTCCAAGTTCTTGCACTTCCCCAACACACAAGCAAGCCCTTTCCCGGGGCTGATGATGCAATTTACCAAGCTAAGCTCTCGCATACTTTCACATGGGACACACTGTTTTTGCCATCGATCTACAGTCAACCGATCGTAAACTTTCATATAACGGTAATTAGCATCGACCTCAAAATTCAACCGTTTTATTTTACGCCAACTCGATCCAAGCTTAATTAGGTCCCCTTCTCCAATTGCCCTACAATTCCTAATGGAGAGATCTTCAACCATTTCAAGCTTGCCAAGATATTCTAGCCACTCAACACTGCTAATATTGAGGCATCGGATAAGGTGGAGAGTAGTGAGGTTTTTGCAGCCCACAACAACAGATAATATGCCAAAACCAGTGATTCTCGGGGTAAAATTCAACTTCAAGGCTGAAAGATTGGAGCAACAAGCCAAGTAGCTAAGACCTACATCAGTGATGAATGTGCAGTAACTTAAGGTGAGGTTGGTCAAAGAAGGGCAGTTGTTGGAAAGAATGAGAATTCCTTCATCCTCCAATTGTTTCCCTAATCTAGACATCCAACCGGAGTAAATTATTTCTACTTTAGTCAAGTTGGGAAACCTGTTGCAGAGACGAGTTAAGGCTTCATTGGCCGGGTCTAACCCACAACCAATCCGCAGAGATTTGCTCTGTTCATTATCCAGTTCATGAAGGCGCTTACAAGCCAAAGAGGCAGAGTTTCTGTCAATGGTTTTCTCAATGCTGCCCAAAATCTCCCAAACTAATTGATCTGGCAGACCATCCATTGCAACAAGATTTTCCTTTTCGTGTTAAATGAAAAAGATTAGAAAGCCTGAAACTCTGGAAAAACCAAGTACAAAAATCTTAATCACATACAATAAAACATGATGTAAAAATAAAAGAAATAAGCACCCAATTTTGAAAGATGTTTAGAGATGCTTATTTTTCATAATGGTAAAAACTGAAAAGGCAACTGAGGGTATTTGAACAGAGAAAACGATTCTAAAACATGAAATACAAATGAGGTTCGGTGCCAGACTGCTAACCTTTTTTTCTCATAGAAAATCCTTTATGTTGAAAGCACGTTTCAAATTAAATGGCCGAGCACAACTAACATCATAGAAGCTCAAATTCAGTTTTTAAGCACATAATACATCATCATTATAGAAGTTAAAATTTCCGTTTTTAAGTACATATAACATGCTTATAAGAAAGGCTCAATTCTAGTCACTTTAGTAATTCAAATTCAAAGAAATAATTCACCAAAAACAAAGGTTGTATCTCCATGGAACCCAAGCCACGAATTGTTCTACTCACATTCTTGACAATGTCAAAATCTGCCTTTTTGGTTCAGTTTTTTTAGAACAATTTTTTCTTTTTAGAGAACTGAAAATCAGAAACTATACCAAAACCTATTTGGTCTACAGTTTTTGAAAACAGTTTTTAAAATACTCAATTAAAAAATTTTTGTTTTCAGATAACTTACTTTTATAGTTATCAGAACTATTTTAAAAAACTGAACCAAACGGTCCTATATTTTCCTTCACTTTCTAAGTTCACCAAATTAACAAGCAAAAATCCAGCGAAAATGCACTTAAGCAATAAAAGTGTTCTCAATTCAAAAGGGAGAAACAAAATACAAGAAGAAACACTCCAGGACATTTGTCATGAATATCTTAATCAATAGTTGACTACGAAAATTGATCATACGAATTCGTTAATCCTGCACCCAAAATATATATATATATATATATATATATATATATATATATATATATACCCAAACAAAATTTTCTCTTATAAGGAAAATATTAACAATATTCAATGGCTAAAAATAAGTTCACTGACGCAAATCTAATGCAAAAGCAAACAATTGCAAGAACCCAGGTGACAATTCATTTCAAAAGGGCGTATAAATCAATAAAACATAAGAGATTACAGATAGAAAGTGTATGGGAAGCAGTTTCATATTACAAAGAATATACAATCTTAAAGAAGAAATATCAGAAATAAAAGAGTTCTCGAATTAGATTGAAATAGCAGATTCAGATACTTGTGTCTATGACAGAAATGAAAACAAAGGCATTGAATTTTACCTGGTACAAGGGTTTGATGATGCTAAGCATGTCGTGAAACAGGAGACGCTATTTTGTGCAAGAGAATAGTTTGATATGGATATACCGTTTAATGCATAATTACTAAAATGTCCTTAGAGGTGTCCTCGGCTATGTAACCTCTTCAAGTGTTCATATTTTTTCTATTTCGCAAAATGAACCACCTCATCATCATTGCTATGCAGAGTGCTAAGGGCGAAAAATATGCACTGTGATTCGTGGCGTTAGTGTGATCTAGAGAGGTTAGGGAGAGACCCTAGCGAGGTTGAGATTCTTAGGCCGAAACGATACCTTGGAGTTGTTATGTGGTCGTAGATAGCTAGTCAATCCTCATCTTGTGATGTAATGGAGTTGACATATGTTGGACTAAACTAACAGTTTGAAAAGAAAAAACGGTATTATTTTGAAAATGGTGAGCGACATTGCATGGCATGTCATTTCATTGGCATATATTACACATTTGGTAGTCGGATGACTTATATACGTACTTGTTGATATTATTATTGTTTTCCTTGCTTCCCAAGGCATGATCTCGTTCACTTATACTTTATTCTTATGTGAATTCACGGAGTCGTAAGAGGTGTGTCTTAGACACTTCCTACTGAGCAGTTGGCTCACCCCATTTGATTATTAATATTTTTCAGGACACGTAAGGGAAGTGGCGGATGACGCTCCTCCACAGGTTTTGATGGGTTAGTGGACTGTTTTGACATATTTTGTAACTATAATCTAATTTTATTATTATTATTATTATTTTTTATAAACCCTAAGATAATAGGTATATTATATATTGACATAAGAAAGGACAATGACATCCTTAGTTGACATTGGGTTCTGATAAGGACCCGATTCGGACCCTTGAATTTTGGTCGTTGCAACAATGTTAAGAAAATATATATGTATATATATATATTTAAAGGAGTAGAAGGGGGGGGGGGGGGGGGAAATAAGAAAAAGAAGAAGAAAAAAAGTAAGAAAAATGACAACTTAAAAAGAAAACAATTAAATTTAATTTAATAAGAAAATTTTAACTTTTTCTTTTCTTTTTTTTTTGAGGAATTTGAAAAGTAAAATAGAAAAAATAATAATAATAATAATAATTAGAGATAATTTTAGAAGGACATTATATAAAAAAATTCCATATATAGAAGTATAAAATATAAAAAAAAAAAAAAAAAAATTTATGTATAGTGAATGTCAGATTACAGCCGCGAGAGCATCGCAATCTGATGTCATGGTGGGGGATCAGACTTGAAAATGAGGGTGGAAGAGTAGACGCAAAGACTTTGACTCTCTGTACAACAACTTGACTTGATCTAACGCTTGATTAAAGTCTTTAGGCATCCACATCTATGGTTGGTTTTGTCTCACCAACTTGGTGCTAGCTTGTCCAAATATTTCTAAGACTTTTGAGTTTTGATAGAGATCACAAAATCATCAATGCTCTCCCAAAGGAGGGATAAGGCTCTTATTCCATGTAGCAAATTTGAAGACGTGTGAGTCAAATTGATTAGATTAATATAAGGGAAAGCCACAATTTGCGTCAACTCCCCAGGCAGGCGAGTCCAAGTGAAGCCAGGAGTATTTTTTTAGTCTTGAATGGAAGTCTCTTCACCACGTACAGTTCCTCTTCCCAAGTCTAAATGCTCTTCTGAACTTGTTCTGTTCTTTTCTTCATTTTTGGTCACATAGATGATCATGAATAACTTCATTGCAACATTTGGCGTGCTTCTCTTGTTTTGGTTTCTATTAGCAGCCACTTCCATCTTTAGCTCAACTGATGGACAACCACCAACTGGTTTTATTTGCAGTGAAAAGGAAAAAAGAGCCCTTCTAAGCTTCAAACAAGGTCTCACAGATCCTACAAACTGGCTATCGTCGTGGTCTACACATCAAGACTGCTGTCAATGGACAGGAGTCCGCTGCCACAATGTAACAGGCAGAGTCATCAAGCTCCACCTCAGTCCATATGATCCCGACATAGAGCATTCTTCCGAGTTGCGTGGCAATATTACAACCTTATTGCTCGAATTAAAATTTCTAAGATCCTTGGATTTGAGCTGGAATAATTTTGGAGGCGCGACTATCCCAAGTTTCTTGGGTTCTATTACAAGTTTAAGATTTCTGAACCTGTCAAGTGCAAACTTTGAGGGGGCAATTCCTCATCAGCTTGGCAATCTCTCGAGCCTTTGCGATCTTAATCTTGGTAGAAATACACTTTATGTTGATAATCTTAGTTGGATTACTCGCCTTCATTCCTTGGAATACCTTGACATGAGTTACGTTGATCTTCACAAAGCAACTGATTGGCTTCAAGTGGTGAGCATGCTTCCTTCCCTTTCACAACTTCATCTCTCCAATTGCCAACTTGACAAAATGATTCCACCTCTTGGGCATGTTAATTCTACGTCTCTTCAAGTCCTTGATTTATTTGAGAACCGTTTGAATTGCAAGATGCCTAATTGGCTGTTTAATCTCAGTAGTAGTCTTCATTTTCTTGATCTGACCATCAATTCTCTATACGGTCACGTACCAGATGAGATTGGCCAGTCGAAATATCTTGAATATCTTTCCCTTTCTTTAAACTCATTGTCTGGTACCATTCCTAGATCTATGGGAAACTTATCATCCTTGAGGGTATTAGATCTTTCTAATAATCAACTGAATGGCACTCTTCCGAAGAGTCTTGGGCTTCTTCCAAGTCTAGAGGTTTTATACGTTGGAAATAATACCTTAGGAGGCATTGTTTCTGAAGTGAATTTTGCTAGACTCTCAAAATTGAAAAATCTGGAAATGTTTTTGAACTCTTTCGTCTTCAATTTCAGCTCCAATTGGTTTCCTCTCTTTCGACTTGAGTATCTTACAATGAGTTCCTGCAACTTGGGACCAAAATTTCCGGCATGGCTACGAACACAAACTTCTATTAAGCTGTTAGACATTTCGCGTTCAGGAATTTCTGATGTAGCTCCAGACTGGTTTTGGAGTTTGGCTTCACGCATAGAATTGATCAATCTCTCTGACAACAGGATCAGTGGTGATGTATCAACCGTCTTGCTAAACTCTAGTGAAATTGAAATGAGTTCTAACTGCTTCAAAGGCCAATTGCCACGTCTATCTCCAAATGTTAAAGTGTTGAATATGGCAAATAACACTCTTTCCGGACCTATTTCCTCTCTTCTGTGCCGGAGGGTGAACAGAAACAATACCTTAGAGGTTCTGGACGTGTCAAATAACCTTTTATCAGGTGAACTTTCTAATTGCTGGATGTATTGGCAATCGTTGACCCATTTAAACTTGGGGAGCAATAACCTGTTCGGTAAAATTCCCACTTCAATGAGTTATTTATCTCAACTCAAATCATTGCACTTGCGTGATAATAGCTTCTTTGGAGAGATACCCTCGTCGTTGCAAAATTGCACTGTATTGGGGCTCATTGATTTAGGTGAAAATGAATTTACGGGAGTCATACCAAGCTGGATGGGAGAAAGAGCAACTCTAATAGTTCTTCGCTTGAAATCCAATAAAATGACGGGTAATATTCCTCCACAAATATGTCAGCTTACTTATCTTATAGTTCTGGATTTTTCCAACAATAGCCTATCAGGAACTGTTCCAAAATGTTTGAATAATATCAGTGCGATGACTGTAATAGATACTAGAGATTCTACCTCATATTCTTATGAAGCTTTGGAGTATGGCTATGACTATGGCTCCTACTTGGAGACACTCTGGTTGGTCACAAAAGGGAGGGACTCGGAGTACAGAGCCATTCTTGGACTTGTTAGGAGCATAGACCTTTCAAGTAATAGCCTGTCTGGTCCAATCCCTCCTTAGCTCTCAAGTCTTCATGCATTGCAGCATCTGAACTTGTCTCATAATCACTTGATAGGTAAGATACCAGAGAAAATCGGGGGCATGACAACGTTGGAATCCCTTGATCTTTCAAACAATTATTTGTCAGGTGAAATTCCTCGGAGCATGTCTAATTTGACATTTCTTAGTTACTTGAATTTGTCATACAATAACTTGTCCGGAATAATCCCTTCAAGCACACAGCTTCAAAGCTTTGGTGAAGCTAGTTTCATCGGCAATGATGAAGTTTGTGGGGCTCCTCTCCCATAGAATTGCACAGAAGAGGATAAATCTCAAGGTGCAGCTCAGGCTGGCCAAGACAAAGAAGAGCCTGAAATGTTTTGGTTTTATATAGGGATGGGACCTGGATTCGCTGCTGGCTTTTGGGGTGTTTGTGGTGTTCTTTTCTTTAAGAGGACTTGGAGGCATGCTTATTTTCAGTTTCTTGATGACATGAAAGACCGGATCTACTTGAAAACACTGCTACAAGTGAACTGGTTTCGCAACAAGTTTAAGAGATCGGGTGAACACACTGCTACTTGAACACACTGCTACAAGGTAAGACTTCGATGTTCCTTGAAGGGTTGTTTGGTTGAAGTGTCTATTTTGTTCTTGCTGTTATAGTTTGACAATAAATTGTGCACAAGTGTGGTTTGTATTACACTTATACTAATTAGTACTTCTAAATGATCATGGATTTTATAGTACACAACAGGAGGGTTCCAGTTGTATAATAATACTTGCAAGCACTTAAACCTTAATGATTCAATGTCGGTGTCTTTGTTTGTTTGGGAAATCAATTAAAATCTACTTAAGACCTATAATGTTCACAGAATATATGTAAATGGAGATATTTTTACTTCTTCCCACACATTAGTGCAGATAATTTGGAAATAGGAACTTCGAAAACAAATCCACTCACCTAGAAGAAGCTATGTAAAGCAGAGTGGCTTGGTGGCAAGCATCATTTTGATCTTCCTGTACATAGTATAAAATTATAAATGGCTGTGTTAATAAGAAATCTTTTTCTTTTATTCATTTCATCACAGCAAGATCTCTGCTTTTCCAAACTGTATCTAAACATGCTAATATAGAATTTAGAATTTCAATCATACCTCCTCCCCTCCAGATTTTACAGCCCTGTATCAAAGAGGAGACAGCAAACTAATATGATTTTGACACTACTAGTTTCAAAATCTTTGGATAACGGTACATGTTTTTGTTGGAAACGGCATTAGAAAACGCAAACTTTGGAAGGATTTTTAAATAGATTCTGCTAAGAATTTTTTGCGAATCTATTGAAGAGCGCGTTCCTCTTTGCGAGGAGATGAACGTGGTATATTTATTTTCTCAAATTCGTTTCCGGGTGAATGAGAAATTGGCTCCAAAGTAAGTGATTTATAAAGCCTAAATGGGTGTGAATAAAGTGGGAAATACTTGTCCCACATCGAAAAAGTAGCAAAGCAACCTTGAGTATATATATATCTAGTATGGGATTTGAATTTGGGCCCAAGGGCACCCAAATTTTTAAGAGGAAGAAGACCTAGGCTAGCTTGGATCCTGTGTGATTGAAATCTATTAATGGTTGAAGTTTGCTTGCTTGCTGGGCTGGATCGGATTAAGAGTTTAAATTCAAATTAAAAACCATAAAACAATTTTTGTTTGAACACTTGTCTCATTGGTCCACGATGGGTGCACCCATTTGGAATAGGCACCATTAAGCCTATAAATAGCCCTCTTTGGATTCATTTCAAGACACACCAAATTCAGAACAAAATCTTCTCTCTTCTGAATTTACTTCTCCCTCTTTTTCTTTTATAATCTGTTTGGGTTCGACCCTAACCAATTGGGTTCAAACCTTAAGGATTCTGTTTGGGTTCAACCCTAACTAATTGGGTTCAAACCTTAGTCACTCACTTCGAGTCCGAATCCGAATCTGAGAGTACTTCACTGAGCCGGTTCACCTATTCCATTGGTTTGAAGTGCTACTACCAAAGAAAGAAAAGTCGTTGTATCCTGGGAGATAGAAGCCGGAGAGTCCGTTAGCACCGTAGCGGGGCGTATCTGTCTTAAGACTATAGAATTAAATTCTAACCTCGACTTTATCAGGTTCTTTTATAGTTTATTTTCTTGATATTAAACTATATAAATATATATAGATTATTATAATAAATATTATATTTACAAATAATATTTAAATAAATTATACTATAGTATATGATACATTTTTTATCAATAGTTTTTTCAATAGTAATGTCTTGGCAACATATTTTTCATATATTTAATTTATTTATACAAGATACTGGCTTGTAAAAACAACCTTTGGCACATGTCTTGTTAACCTTTAAATTATAGACTATATTTATTTATTATTTTTTATGTTAACCTTTAAATTCTTGTCTTGAACGTAATGTAATTGATTCAATTGCAAGCTTATCTTTTCCGAATTATGATGCAATTGTTTAGAAAACCTGTATGTTATTCTTTTTCTTTGTACTAGTCAAAGTAAGGTAAAATTTTTTTTTTTTTAATTATTGTCTTAGTTGTTCAAGAGTATTAGTATACTCAAATTAGATTCAATTCTATCTATATAGTGCAGAATATGATTCGTAGTAGTATCGATTTGGCCTTCTAATTACTAAATATTTATTTTTTATGTTGTATATAACTCCATGACATTTGTATTAAATAAGTAATCAAGGTGTGCATAGTAGTATTTTTGACACTCGTTAACAATTGTATTTTTCAAACTTGATTAATTGGCTTCACAATTTTTACTTGACTTAACATTACTCCTATGCTCTTTGATGGCACCAGGGTGGAAGGAAGGAGACTGCATGTGTGTGGACGCGGTTGCAAAGGAAGAATGTCTTTTGATGTTATGTTTGTTTCTCATTGTAATAAAAAAAAAAAAAAACACATTTCTAAAGTAGATTTGGAGAAATAATAATAAAGATTATCTGCACAATATATAGATTGCTGTTGAAAATAAATATTTAATAGGCCTAATTTAAATAGGGTTATAAATTATACATACATACATATATATATATATATATATATATATATATATATATATAATACGTTTGTTGGTTTCGTGTTCTATTTTTTTATAAATTTATTAACAGCTTCTTGAACTCTTTTTTTTACCATCCTTTAGTGCTTGTTTACCAATGCCAATATTTGTCCCTTCAAAACCCATGAAGATGAATATTAAAATTCTATGCGTGGTTCAGAATTGTAAGAATAATTTATTGTTCATACAAAGCAGAAAATGAATCAAAATTTCTTTCACAGTTTCACCAACTGTTTTTGAAAACGGAATTTAAAATTACGTAATTTTATGATCTCTTTTTTAGTTTACTACATAATTTTGAAAAACAGAACTTAAAATTATTGGAAGATTCAATGCGAAGAAGGCACAAACTTCACTTCATTGAACTGTAATTAAAAGCTTATCGGTACGATGTAATTTTTGAAAGGAGTCGAGGCCACACTTCTCCAAAGAGTCAAAATCGTCGAGAGACAACGACGGCCACAAAACCCACATGTAACAACCCAAAAATTCGGCATAACCTCTACTAAAAAAGTCCTACTTCAACCTGCTGTAAAAATATAAGAATACAATGGCCTCACTTGGCAATATAACACATTCCAACATTTCATTCATCCATTTATTATACCCTAACATAGTTCATTTTTTTGGTGCAACAACCACATACCATCTAATCCAAATACATCATAATTACAGTCACAAAAACATGATTAAGAGTCCTAACATACACTGAGACATTTTACAAGAGTTACTCCATGCTCATCATTATAATTACAAGGTTTCCAAACACAAAATTATAAAGAACATAATTATATCATTACAACGTAAAACTTTGGTTGCAAAAACTAACAAAACGGTCTTCTAATTCAAACTAAGCTTGTGATGGAACGTTGTCCGCCACTTCTTTTCCGTGTCCTGAAAAAAAATGTTTAAGTAATGGGGTGAGCATAAAACTCAGTAGAAATCGCCTAAGACATTAGTTTCGGACTCCTTTGAGCTATACAACATCTAAGAGAATAGAAAATGGAGCTGGGGTCATGCCATGGGGTTCAAATAACATTTCCATTTAACAAGTAATTTTCCTAGTCACAAGCACAATTTTAGAATTAATGTGCGTGAAATGAAATGAGATGTGATGTACTCGTCCCAAATCTGATCTATACCGACCCAACCCACACTTTTTTTAAAAATCCACTGACTGACTTTACCGAGACGAAATTAATAATTATCCCTGGTTCCAAATCCGGCACCTGTTAAAGGGCCTAGTATTAACTTTTTCACGCCTTACACGGGGCCGTGCTCCCTCTAGGTCAAGTTAGCCCTGGACTTGCGAAATCCGGTTCATTTTAAAAAAAAAACCTTTCCATCTTTTTTAAAAAAAAAAACTTTACTCTTTAAAAGAATCAAATTTTTCCTTTCACCTCTTCTCCGAACCCCTCCTTTATGCCATGATATGCTTTGTAATGATTTACATCCTTATAATTTCAATTCCATCACTATATCAAGAACAATATCACCATGGCACTTATAATACTCAAATAGAATCATGGCATTTTTAATAATCAAATAAAATCATTGCATGCTCTAGAAATCCAACACATCAAAAACATCACTATTCCAAGTAAACATGTACAAGAATCATCCTTAAACATGTTCAATATACAATCATATACATTATGTCATAATTTAACATAAAATAAATAAATAAATAAAATGGCAAAGGACTTAGATGCTTGCTCAATGGAAGGTAAAACAAGGTGCATTAGGTAGACCCGTACCTCAATTGGAGATTATGCCAAACAAAGCCTCAAATTCAGCCCAAAACCCTAGAATTTTGAAATCCAAGGATGCTCCAAATTGAAATCAGCTCCGATCAAATTGAAGGCCTCAACAAGCTTATCAAATTTGCCCTAAGTGGTAAAATCAGATTCTCAATAGTTTGAGAGAAACCAAAGTTTGAAGTTGTAAAAAAAAAAGAAAAAATAAAAGTCAATGGGAGAGAGAGGGAACTGGTTGTGAGAGAAAGTGAGGTTTTGCTGAAGCCATTATAATTGTTATAATGTCCTGCGGGTCCCACCACTTCTTTTTTTTCTTTTCTTTTATAATAATCTTTAATAACATAACTTATAAATATTTATATATATACACAATAACTAATTCACTGCCACACCAATTAACATATAAATAAATAATCTATGCACAAAATAACAATGTAAGAAATGCAATGTAACCGTAATATAATCCCCGTACACAACAATACCAGTAACGAGTTCCACTTGGAACCTCCCAGCTCGAAAAACGGAAAATGCCGAAATGGTGACCATTGCATTTCCAAGAGCTCTGAAAGGAAATGCCCCCAATCAAATCTCTGACACACCTGGCACACCCCAAGGTATTCGGTACGTAAAACGAAAAAAGACTAAAATACCCTCCACCTCAGTGATGGGTTCGGTCTTCATCGATGCGAGCCTCTTCGAGTATGCACCTGTGAACGGAATCAGGATTTTAATTTAGGAGGGGCACAATGTTAAGAATATATATATATATATATATATATATATATATATATATATATATATAAAGGACTAGAAGTAAAAAAAAAAAAAAAAAAAAAAGGAGAAGGAGAAGGAGAAGGAGAAAAAAAAAAGTAAGAAAAATGACAACTTAAAAAGAAAACAATTAAAATTTAATTTAACAAGGAAAATTTAACTTTTGTTTAAGGAATTTGAAAAGTAAATTAGAAAAAAATATATAAAAAAATAAGAAATAATTTTAGGAGCACATTATATAAAAAATTCAATATATAGAAGTATAAAATATAAAAAAAATTCTATATGAATAGTGGATGTCTGATTACAGCCGCGAGAGCATCGCAATCTGATGCCATGGTGGGGGATCAGACTTGAAAATGAGGGCGGAAGAGTAGATGCAAAGACTTTCTGTACAAGAACTTGACTTGATCTTACACTTGATTAAGGTCTTTAGGCATCCACATCGATGGTTGGTTTTGTCTCACCAACTTGGTGCTTGTCCAAATATTTCTAAGACTTCTGAGTTTTGATAAGAGATCACAAAATCATCAATGCTCTCCCAAAGGGATAAGACTCTTATTCCATGTAGCAAATTTGAAGACGTGTGAGTCAAATTGATTAGATTAATATAAAGGAACCCACAATTTGCGTAAACTCCCCGGGCAGGAGAGTCCAAGTCAAACCATGAGTTTTTTTTTAGTCTTGAACGGAAGTCTCTTCACCACGTACAGTTCCTCTTCCCCAGTCTAAATGCTCTTCTGTGTAACAACCCTAAACTGATACCCTTTTTTAAAAATAAAAAAAAAAAGATTTTAAAATAAATTTAGCATGACCTCTCCTAAAAAAGGGCTTACAACCACCTGTTCAAATAAAAAAAAACGCAATGGCCCTTCTTGGCCCTTCAAGACATATTCAACCTGTCCCAACACACAACACAAATAATATATTTCGGCATCCCATTCATCCGTTCATTATACCTCAACATGGTTCATCTCATGGTGGAACATTCACATACCATTTAATCCAAATTATCATAATTACAGTCCCAAAATATATGGTTAAGATCTAAAGTACATGTCTTACAACGTTTGGACAACTTATACTAAAGTTACAGTCCATAATTATGATTACAATAACAAGGGTCTACAAACCTCTATACCGAATATAACAAACTAAGGTTTTACAAAAATATGGGACTTAGTACAAAAATAGCAAAACAATATTCTAAATCCAAATTAAGTCTGTGGTGGAACGTCATCCGTCACTTCTTTCCCATTTCCTGAAAAAAAATTATTAAATAATAGGGTGAGCATTTTGCTCAGTAGGCGGTGCCTAAGACACACCTCTTGTGTCCCCGTAAATCCAAACAAAGAATTGAACAATAGGGGGCGGGGTCATGCTATGTCGAAAAAAATATACAACATAATAATCAATTTCAACATACACAATGAGATGCTATAAAATGCGAAGCATGCCGATGTCGCTCCCCATTTTCAACATCCAAATCCATCACTTTCAAACCGTTAATGTAACCCCCTTCATTAACTCTTCAGCGCCGAGAGAAGGATTGGCTACTGACCCTGACCGTTGGTACCTCCGCATCGTCATTTGGGCCCAGATAGCTCAACCACGCTAGGGCAATCTCCCTAGTTCCCCCTAGGTTACATTAACCTACCGGCCCTTTGGTGACTCCGCGGCGACCGAGTTTTTCATAAAACACTTTAATCAAAACTTCTTTCCCAAAATTCTCCTTTTTCATTTTGAAACACTTTTCTCCATTTTCACGCCCAATGACATGCATGAACATTACAGATTTTCTCAATGTCATGACAATGAAAGACTTTTATACTACACAAATTAACATGCTTCCATTTAACAATTGCTAATAAATTACTAACACCATAGGCATAAAAGAATTTACACGTAAACATGCTTTCCACATAGTAAATTTTAACAAGTTTACAAACACACAAGCATATAAAATCAACATTTAAGCATGTTTTTCACACAAATCCACATATACACATAATCATGAATTTCATATACAAAACCAAATCATTTTAGAGGCATTTATCTCAAATCAAGCATGTTTAGCTATAATTAACAAAGAATAATTCACAAAGGAGCAAGAATTTCATGGATTAGGAACCCCTACCTCAAGTGTGATGCAAAACCCTCAAATGGGTCTCAAATTTCGAAAGTACTAGGGAGCACCAAAACTGAAATTGCTGGTATGGATTCGAAGGCCTCGTCGTGGGCTTCGATTTGCCGCAAACGGCTTCTAAAAACTCCAAGTATTGAAGGAGTAATTAAGCTCTAAAGTTTTAATTGAAAAAAAAGAAAAGAAAAAGCAAAGCAAGGGGAGAGAGAGAGAGAGTAACGGGAGCAGGAGAGAGAATTGAGAAAGTGAGACCAAAGTGTGGTCTCTAACCCATTTATGTGATAATGGTAGGTCCCACATATTATATTTTATTTTTCCTTTTTCTTTTATCTTTAATTCTACACCACATACATAAATAATGCACCACCATATAAATGTCACATAAGTCACATAAAATAAAATGCAAATGGACCCAACCAAAATCCCAATGCATGACAATACCGGTAGCGGGTCCCACACGGGACCATCTAGCCCGAAAAACAAAAAAAATGCGAAAATGCCTAACCTTACATTTCCAAAAGTCCTGCACTCCATGGAATGCCCCCAACCAACCATCCGGCACACCCCACGGTGTCTGGTACGTAAAATGAAAAATGACGAAAATACCCTCGCATTAACAAAATTATGGAAAAAATGAAAAATGCGGAAAATCAGAAATATCACATTCTGAACTTGTTTAGTTCTTTTCTTCATTTTTGGTCACATAAATGATCATGAATAACTTCATTGCAACATTTGGTGTGCTTCTCTTGTTTTGGTTTCTATTAGCAGCCACTTCCATCTTTAGCTCAACTGATGGACCACCAGCAGCTGGTGTTATTTGCAATGTAAAGGAAAAAAGAGCCCTTTCAAGCTTCAAACAGGGTCTCACAGATCCTGCAAACAGGCTATCCTCATGGTCTGTATACATCAAGACTGCTGTCAATGGACAGGAGTCCGCTGCGACAATGTAACAGGCAGAGTCACTGAGCTCCACCTAAGTGCACATGATTCTTACCAGTTGGGTGGCAAGATTACTATCCCATTGCTCAAATTAGAATTTCTAAGATACTTGGACTTGAGCTTGAATGACGTTCATGGCATGAGTATTCCAAGTTTCTTAGGTTCTATGACAAGTTTAAGGTCTCTGGACCTCTCATATGCAGGATTTGTGGGGGCGATTCCTCATCAGCTTGGAAATCTCTCAAGCCTTCGATATCTTAATCTTGGTGGATATACACTTTATGTTGATAATCTTAGTTGGATTGCTCGCTTTTATTCCTTGGAATACCTTGACATAAGTAGTGTTGATCTTTACAAGGCAACTGATTGGCTTCAAGTGGTGAGCATGCTTCCTTCCCTTTCAGAACTTCATCTCTCCAATTGCCTACTTGACAAAATGATTACACCTCGTGGTTTTGTTAATTTTACGTCTCTTCAAGTCCTTGATTTTTCTATCAACCTTTTCAATTCCAAGATACCTAATTGGCTGTTTAATCTCAGTAGTAGTCTTCGTTCTCTTGAACTGTGGTACACTTCTCTACATGGTCACATACCAGATGAGATTGGCCAGCTGAAACATCTTGAATATCTTCGCCTTTCTATGTACTCATTTTCTGGTCACATTCCTGTATCTATGGGAAACTTGTCATCCTTGTGGCTATTTGATCTTTCTCATAATCAACTACATGGCACTCTTCCAAAGAGTCTTTGGCTTCTTACAAATCCAAAGATCTTATCCATTGAAGATAATACCTTAGAAGGCACTATCACTGTTTCTGAAGTGAATTTTGCTACACTCTCAAAATTGAAGGCTCTGGGAATGTCTTCAAACTCTTTCATCTTCAATTTCAGCTCCAACTGGTTTCCTCCTTTTCGACTTGAGTATCTTTCAATGAGTTCCTGCAAGTTGGGTCCAAAGTTTCCAGCATGGTTACCTCTTAAGCAATTAGACATTTCGCTTTCGGGAATTTCTGATGAAGCTCCAGATTGGTTTTGGAGTTTGGCTTCACATATGGAATTGATCGATCTCTCATACAACTGGATCAATGGTGACGTATCAACCGTCCTCCTAAACTCTAGTGTCATTAAAATGAGTTCCAACTGCTTCAAGGGCAAGTTGTCACGTCTATCTCCAAATGTTGAACATGGTAAACAACACTCTTTCCGGACCTATTTCCTCTTTTCTGTGCGAGAGGTTGAATAGAAACAATAACTTACAGCTTCTGGACATGTCAAATAACCTTCTATCAGGTGAACTTTCTAATTACTGGATGTATTGGCAATCATTAACCCATTTAAACTTGGGGAGCAATAAGTTGTCTGGTAAAATTCCTACTTCAATGGGTCATTTAACTAAACTCAAATCATTGCACTTGCATGATAATAGCTTCTTCGGAGAGATACCCGCGTCATTGCAAACCTGCAAACTATTGAGGCTCATTGATTTAGGTGAAAATGAAATTTCAGGAGTCATACCAAGCTGGATGGGAGATGTCACAACTCTAATCGCTCTTCGCTTGAAATCCAATAAAATGACCGGCAATATTCCTCCACAAATATGTCAACTTTCTTCTATTATAGTTCTGGACCTTGCCAACAATAGCCTGTCAAGAACTATTCCAAATTGTTTGAATTATTTCAGTGCGATGACTGCAATAGATACTTCAGATTCTGATTATTCTGAAGCTTTAGATTATACGTATAACTATGACTACTACATCAATGGCTACTACATTAAAAGCTTCTACATTGAGGGTATGCGGTTGGTCACAAAAGGGAGGGACTCAGAGTACAGAGGCATTCTTAAACTTGTTAGGAGCATAGACCTTTCGAGTAATAGTCTGTCTGGGCCAATCCCTCCTCAGCTATCAAGTCTTCATGCATTGCGTTTTCTAAACTTGTCGTTTAATCACTTGATAGGAAAGATACCAGAGAAAATTGGGGGAATGACAATGTTGGAATCCCTTGATCTTTTGGAAAATTATTTGTCAGGTGAAATTCCTTAGAGCATGTCTAATTTGACATTTCTTAGTTACTTGAATTTGTCATACAACTACTTTTCCGAAATAATCCCTTCAAGCACCCAACTTCAAACCTTTGGTGAAGCTAGCTTCATCGGCAACGCTGAACTTTGCGGAGCTCCTCTCGTAAAGAATTGCACAACACAGAGAGAATCTCAAGGTGAAATCCCTGTGGGCCAAGATAAAGAAGAGTCTGAAATGTTTTGGTTTTATATAGGGATGGGACCTGGATTCGCTGCTGGCTTTTGGGGAGTTTGCGGTGGTCTTTTCTTTAAGAGGACTTGAAGGCATGCTTATTTTCAGTTTCTTGATGATATGAAAGACCGGATCTACGTGGCCACACTGCTACAAGTGAATTGGTTTTGCAAGAAGTTTAAGAGACCAGGTGATGTCCACTGAAAGTCATCAATCAATTTTTGAAGGTATGGCTCCAAAGTTCCTTGAAAGGTTGTTTGGTTGAAGTGTCTACTTTGTTCTTGTTGTGGTAGTTCTACAATAAATTGTACACTCTGTGGTTTTTTTTTTTTTTTTTCTTGTTTTTAATCTCCTTATTTTGAATTCCAAAACAAAATTCTGTCTATCTTCTCCATGGATGTAGGCCAAAAGTCGAACCACATAAATCCTTATCTCCTATTGTGTGTGTGCCTATTTATATTTATATTGTTATTATTTATCTTGTTCTCATAAACCCCATTCGATCCTTTCGCAGCATAACTCTTTTGCGCTTGATTATATCAAAATAGCAAGAGCTCTGCATTTCTAAACTGTACCTAAACACCCTAATATATTTGGCTTCCCCAGCTCCCTTGTGCTGTTGGTCTCACATTTTATGGTTTAGAAATCGTATTCTTAAGCACAACTTCATTTATTGGCTGGCTTTCAGGAATGGACTTTTAATACGCTTGATAGTAACTCAATTTCTTACCTTCAGATCCCCAATACTTGTTTCCTTTGCACCTGTCACCCTTGAGTCCATTAATCATCTCTTCTTCAACTGCCCATATACCTCTTTCATTTAGGCTCCGTTTGTTTGGATGTAAAATATTTTTTTATTTTCTGGTGTTTGGTTGTCGTAAAATATTTACGAATAAAAAAATATTAAAATTTAACAAAAATAATTTATCCATAAATTTTCAGCAAGTTATTTTACATGTCTCGCCTGATGGACTCGACCTTAACCTCAACGTAGACCTTTGCCAAACACCGACAAAGTAAAAATAAAAAATATATAATTTTCCTAAAAATATATATATATTTCAAAAAAAATATTTTACGTGAAAACAAATGGAGCCTTAGACTCACTCTCAACACCTTGTTGGCTTTCATCTCTCTCCTAACTCTTGGCCTGACATCATTGCTCACTGGAATTCTTCCAAGAAATCTGCCAAGTTTTTGATCCATAAGTTAATCCTCAATGCCACTGTTTTTACTCTACCAGGTTGGAGAGAAATGCTACCGCTTTCATAGGGAAAGTTTCTCCTCCTCAAACTCTAATTAAAGCTATCAAGGATCTTAACTATTTGGATGAATTCTGGAACTTTCAAAACCTTCGGACTTAGGTGGTTGCACATTCCTTATTAACAATTTGCGAGTAAGTGTTTGCCCCTTGTTAGGCTATAGATTGTTTCTTTTGCTTCCAAGCTTTAAGCTTTGGACTCTTTCTATGTTGCTCAGCTCGCTGTAGGGATGTTTGTTTGTACAGTTTTCTCCTTCTATACAACTTACTACCGATTACTGAAAAAAAAACATGGTGTGTCTGAGGCAAAGGTGAGGACAGTGCCATAAAAAGGCGTTGGAAGTAAAATTTACCATAACATGAAAAGTAATTTACTTCATTACAGTATATGTAGATCAAATAAGTCATAAAGGCAAATGGGCACAGTGGGGCAAAGCACATCTAATTAGGGGAAGGAATTTCTGAGAAATAAACGTACCTCAGCAAAGCATCATGGAATTGGAAAAATCTGTTATTACTCCATCAACAAGTTGGATCTATCTTCCACTGTATGGAGAGAGAGCGCAATGCTCGAAGTTTCAGAGGCTCTTCTTCATCCGCCCAATCAAAGCTTTTTTTACAGAGCATTTGCGATCTCATCAGAGGGTGCAATTAGGGTTATCCATGTGTGGGATCTTCCTGATTCGTGCACCATATTCGTCTTCATCAACCAACCTTGCATAGAAACACCGAAGCAAGCCTTGCAATCTCCTCCGTTACCAGAAAATATAGTCGTTATCGACTCTGAGAATGTTATATGAAGATGGGTTGGGCTGCTTCTCTTTCGTTGGCTTTTGTTTGGGGTTTTCATTTCATTTCCTCTTTTTTACTAATACAATTATCTGAAGGTAAAAAATTCTCAGCAGAAGCAGGAGTCCTAAATTACAAATTGTTCTATTTAAAAATTATATTTTTTATTTTGGTTAAATTAAGTAAAATAATTACATACACATCAACAATTATTGTTTAAGGTCAAAATGCCCTCCAAATTCTTATAAATACCAAATTATCTTTTTTAAATTAAATAATTTTTTCAGTTAAAAAATTTAGAAAAATTCATTCAAATATAACTGATTTTAAGTTATTTCAAATATGCCCTGCATGCTAGTGAATATCCAATTAATTAACAATTTAATTGAACTGTTATCTTAAGGATATGTGGTGATAGCCATTTATGTGTACCGTTAGAGATTTGACAAATAGAAGTGTTTAATTGTGAGAATGGTTAGGAATTGATATTCAGTGAAATGATGGCTCGGGAAGGTCATTATTGACCTGAAAGTAAAGTACTATTATACTGAGAATTGAATCAATTCGTTCACTTTGGTGTTTGAAGCTAAGCTTTTATTTTTATTTTATTGTCTATGAATGGTCAAATAATTTTATTTATTTAATTTTTTTCTCAGCAGAAGTTAAAGCAAACCCACTACCAACATGCTTCTAACGAGACTCCAACTCTCAACCTTCTCTTTAAGGAAGAAATATCATACATTCTTCCAAATTTTTTTATCACAACATGAAGGACACTTTGGACCTGATCAACGGTCCTCAATTTATATGTAATTACTTTGCCTAATTCAATCAATGTAAAATATAAACTTTAAAAATAAACTAGTTTGTCTTTTAAGACTAACTCTACTTATGTGTAGTTTTTTTTTTTTTTTTTTTCCTTCAAAAACACCCAGAATATGCATTTAATTAAAGCAGTCATTTTTTTTATAGAACTGTGACACTTTTTCTGGAATTTTTTTTTTTAAAAAAAAAAAATTTAAACACTTTTTCTGGATATATATCAACAACTGAAAATGATGCAACATATTTTCTACACAGTTTAGACATAAACCCTTTGGTTCCTAAGTATTGGCAAAAGATTCATAATAAAACTAATAATTAATATTTTACAAACTATTTCTTACTTAGGCAAGATATTCATTATAAAAGTCAACATAAAATAGTCGAACATTCTTTGCTTACAAACACCTTTTTCTGGATTTATTTTTTAAAAAAAAAAAAATCTAAACACTTTTTCTGGATTTTTTTTTAAAAAAAAAATTATTTAACACTTTTTCTGGATATATCAACAACGGAAAATGATGCAACATATTTTTCTACACAGTTTAGACATAAACCCTTTGATTCCTAATAAAACTAATAATTAATATTTTACAAACTAGTTCTTATTTATGCAAGCTATTCATTATAAAAGTCAACAAAAAATAGTCAAACAATTCAATTCCGCTATCACAGCTACACGAGAGAAAGCGTTGCTGCCGCATTCTTCCACTATCAGGGCCAGCAAGCAGCATAATTCTGTTCCGAATCCTGCGTTTCATTCCAGCAACACTAGTAGTAGTATATGTTCAAAACGGCCTTGTTCCATCCCGGCGCGAATTCCCTCCATCGCTAGTATGATGGAGGCGTGACTGACAAATCTTGGGTGGTCCTGAACAAGAGGTTTTAGAGTCCCCTGTTGCAACAATGTTGGAAACTGCTTTCAATAGTATGCATTATTGGTGGTCTTTGCTATGGAATTGACCTGTGCACTGTATATGACTGCTTTTGAGCTAATATTTTCAGTCAGCTTACAAGTGTCTCCATCATTATATCTACTAAAGACATGTAAGTACCAACTAATGCAGTTACTGTATACGTAAAATCGATGTTGTGAGACTTAGAAGAGCTTCAACGTACAAGTGACATGAGATATCCAAACGAAAAAAAAAATGGGACAGTGAGAGCTACAATTAATAATGGTGCTGATTATGAAGGTGGTTGTGGTGTAATCGATGGGTTAAATACAATTGTGTGTTAGTTAGCTGAAGTGTGCAATGCATTATGTATGACGCTCCAAACAAAGTAAAAAGCCTATTGTGTTAGATAAAAGTGCATGTGGTTTGCATGACGTTCCTAACAACGTGTGTTTTTCATACATGATTGCAGTCAGGTGTACTTTATTATGGAGATGACTTGATGGTTATAAATAAGATGCCAATGGCATACCTCCTATGTATCTACAAGTTTATATCTTGAGGGTATTTTCATCATATCATTATGGAGTATCTCAAACGCTTCAAATAATTACAAGGCTAATTTTGTAATCTAATTGCACACAATGGTAATATTTTGGTGGCAATATATCCGAATATTTCAATATATTCTCCAACTGCATTTTAGAAGTATTGGAAACTCCAGATTTATCAGGGACTCAACTTTGTGGCCATTTTCCTGATGCTGCTCATCAAATCGCACAATCTAAAAATCTGGTAGCCCTCGTGCTTATAAGTTATTTTCTTTTTGGTCACATTCCAGAATCTTTGTGGGGACTATCGACTTTGCAATATTTTGAAGTTTATAATAATTCTCTTTCTGGTCACATTCCAGTGTCTTTGGGAGGATTGTCATCCTTGAAATATTTAGATATTTTTAATAATAACTTGAGTGGACATGTACCGAAAAGTCTTGGACAACTTGCAAAGCTGGATGTAGTATGGATATTTTCCAAGGTGCTATATCTAAGTTCACTTTGCAAGATTAAGACAATTCGGTGGAGCTGAAAATCATTTGGTCTTGCAAGTGGGTCCAACTTGGGTTCCTCAATTTCAACTTGATATGCTAACACTAGGCGCATGCCAACTGGGGCCACAATTTCCACCATGGCTTCAGAGTTCAGTCACAAAAGAATTTAGCGGTTCTGGATCCATCCAACAATGGATTTCAGATGTCATTCCCAATTGGTTTTGGAACTTATCTTCCGAGGTTTACATTTTAAATCTCTCTCGCAATCATTTCCATGGTCAGATTGTTGATATGCCTTTAGTTTTTTCTATTTCGACAATAGTTGATCTAAGTTCTAATCACTTCAGATGTACGTTACCCCATATATCTTCAGGTGCAATTACACTGGATCTCTCTAACAATTCATTTTCAAGATCTATTTCCCCCTTCTTATGTTACAGGATGGATCAACCAAAGAATTTGCAACTTCTTAATCTAGAGGGAAATCTTTTATCAGGAGAAATTCCCAATTGTTGGATGAGCTGGGTTGGGCTTGAATTCCTAAATTTAGGAAACAACAATCTAACTGGAAAAATTCCAAGCTCCATGGGATCATTAAATCACCTCAAATCGTTGCATTTGCGTAATAATAGCCTTTTTGGAGAACTACCTATCTCATTACATAACTGTACTGGGTTAGCGGCTATGGACTTGGGTGAAAATGAATTTTCAGGAAGCATACCAACATGGATTGGAGAGAGACTTGTTAATCTCAAGATCCTCATCCTACGGTCAAATAAGTTGCACAACGGCATTCCCGAAGAACTTTGTGCACTCATTTCACTTCAAATCTTGGACCTTGCACATAATAATTTATGGGGAAGCATACCAAGATGTTTTAGGAATCTAAGTGCCATGAACATACAGCAAAACTCAAGTGATCAGATGTTTAATGGCTCTAATGCTACCATTGCATACTTCTTTAATGGTATTATGGAGAATGCATTACTAGTGATGAAAGGGAAAGTGCTTGGATATAGCACCATCCTTCAACTGGTAACGAGCATGGACCTTTCAGGTAACAATTTATCAGGAGATATTCCCAAAGCTTCTCGGGCTTCGATCGTTAAATTTGTCGCATAATATTTTAACGGGAAGGATTCCTGAGAATATTGGTTCTATGATATTATTAGAGTCCATTGATTTCTCTACAAACCATCTTATTGGTGCAATCCCTCCAAGCATGGCAAGTTTGACATTCCTAAGTCACTTGAACTTGTCCAATAACAACTTGAAAGGTGAAATACCACTAAGCACTCAGTTCCAAAGTTTTAATGCATCTTGCTTTGTTGGCAACAATCTTTGTGGGCCTCCACTTGTTCACAATTGCAGTGTAAATGATGCAACACCTACTTCTAGAAATGGAGGAGGCAATGAAGGCAAGGGACCTGAGGTGGATTGGTTTTATGTGAGCGTGGCACTTGGTTTTATTATGGGCTTTTGGGGTGTATTTGGTCCTGTACTGTTCAAAAGGTCATGGAGATTGGTATGCTTTGAGTTGATGGATAGAATGTGGCATAAATTCTCTGTTCTTATAGGTGTGTGAAAATAGATGTTATTTTAATTGAGTGGTGATCATCATTCAACTGTAGACTAAGCTGTAATTTTATTCTGCAAAAGTTGATTATATGAATGACATCTAAATCATAGATATTTGCTTGCATCCTCCTGTTAAGCAAACTCTTATTAAACAAGAGCAAGAGTAGCAGTTTTTGTAATGCATTGATGTAGTACATATTTCCTAGATAGTATAGATTTTTTTTTTTTTTCCCCACCTTTTTTATTTAACCTGAGTGCGATTTTAAAATAGTTTTTAAAAATTAAATATAATGAAAGAATGAAATTTAGGTAATGGATACAAAATTAATTTGAAAATGACTTTGAAAAATTAAATAAAAAAAATTAGAGTGACAAAGTTGGTAATGATATGATTTGCACTATTTGTTAGATCTGGGAGAGAACTTGAGTAAGTCCGATGGGATTAGGGATGACAAACAGTTAATTCGATATGGGTTTTTTAGAAGTATTCCATCCTCATCCCACTAAGTTAAACGGATTACCGACCCTAAAGAGATAAAATGCTAGTGAAGTTATTGTACTATATATATAGTAACCAAGGGCCTTGTAGCTAGACATGTCAATGAATCGAATTTTGATTTGAATCGAAAAAAATTTCAAATGAAGATGAATTTGATATTCAATTTTTCCATATTAGGTTGGTGATACTATTAGACGATTTGAGATAAAAGGTCTCTCATTGAAAGATGTAATTAATTTTGATTCTTTCTATTTTCTAGATGTAATTAATTTTAATTTTTTATATTTTCTACTATTTATCCCTTGTGTTCTATATCTATTTGTGAATTCATTATTGGCAATTGTGTGTATTATCACTGTATCTGAAGACAACCAGGTTTTCTGGGGAAAACTAGGGTTTTTAGATTCAAATGATTGATTTTGAAAGTTTTAAAGGTCATGGATTAGTTTTTTCTCGTTGCTTGTTGTTGGATTGGGATAGTGGAGGGGTACATTATATTATTGTTTGTCTATTAGTTCTCAATTGTGCGGAGTAGAGTAGTTTGGTAGCTTGCAAAGTCATCACCTTGAGATCACGGATTCAAATCTCTTCGCTACATTGTCATTTTATTCTCGGATTTTTTTTTTTTTTTTTTTTTCTTTTTTCCCTCTCTATCCCATTCTTATTGTAGGTGGTGGTTGCTGTTTACTTTTTCCCTTATTGCAGTCATTAATGAACATGCTGAAAGTTAAAGAGCCATTTCCTTTGATTAGTTGAAACCAGTAGAGAAAACGTCTCCTGTTTGGTCTGAGCTGGACTCTTGGATGATGGACTTCCATTTCATGTTGTATCAGTTATGAAAGTAGGTCATTTCAGCTGCTGAGTTTTTTTGTTTGTGTATACATGTGTATATATATCCGCTGAGATCACGGGTTCCTATCCTTTTAAGAATAATTTATTGTTCAAAGACAGCAGAAAAAAGGAAAATGGTTTGATTTCTTTCACAGTTTCACTAGATGCCTTTTTGAACTTTTTTTGAAAACGGAATTTAAAACTACATAATTTTTTTAGAATACTAAAAATTATTTTATATTCTTGGGGTTATTGAAATTATTTTAGACTACAGTAATAGCTATTTTAAAATGACATAATTGTACAGGCACAAAATCCAAATTGGAGGAGAAAATTTCCACGAGATGGAAAACTTTTGGCACTAAAAATGAAAGTGGAAGACCAGAAGAAAAGAGTTCCTTGAAAATGAAAGTTAAAGACTAGACGCATAGACTTGTTATACAAGCACTTGCGTTGATCTTATTATTGGCTAAAGTCTCTACCTAAGACGATACGGCAAATTTTGGCTAAAGTCTCTAGCTAAGATGATACGGCAAATTTTAGAATAATCGAGCATGGATATGTTAAAAAATAATAATATAATATACCATTATATATAAAGAATAATAATTTTTACACATTTTATCCATACACTTGTGAATGAAATCACTAATTGGAAGTTTAGAACTAAATGTTGGTTAATTTTGTTTTCTTAAATTTCATATTATTCTTCTAATATATTTTAAATTGCATTGAATTCCATTACCCCTACCCTGGCCTAAAAGTGTCTCAAGCGTGTTTTTGTCGTGTTACGTGTTTAAAATATATATCTATATATAATATTTAAATTCCAAGACACTTCTAGTGCGCGGCAGTATCCGCGAGTCTGACACATGTCTGAGCATCCTCAGACACCCCTAGGTACAATGTCCGTGCATTCTAGGTCTCTAGTCATCCGCGTCCATGGTTGGTTTTGTCTCACAAACTTGGTGCTCTGTTCTAAGACTTTTGATGGAGATGCTGAAGTCACAAAATGACCAATGCTCTCCCAAAGGGTATCTGTTGGCCCATGAAAACCACTTTTTTTTTTTTTTTTCTTCTGAAAAACAATAACTCTGGTAGATAGATATCCAAGTTAAATTGATTAGATTAATATTAGGGTAAGTTATTCTGGTGGGGTGCATTAAGGGTTGGAGATGGTTATAAACCTGTCATTTATTGAGAAAATGACAAATGCTCTCCCAAAGGGTATCTGTTGGCCCATGAAAACCACTTTTTTTTTTTTTCTTCTGAAAAACATGAACTCTGGTAGATGGATATGTAGGTTAAATTGATTAGATTAATATTACAGTAAGTTATTCCGGTGGGGTGCATTAAGGGTTGGAGATGGTTATAAACCTGTCACTTATTGAGAAAATTCCATTCACATGATAAGATTTTAAAACCACAAGTTAACTCCCAAGGCAGGAGAGTCCAAGTCAGCCCAGGAGAATTTTTAAGTCTTGGAATGAAAGTCTCTTCCTCCACTACCAGACCACAGTTCCTCTTCCCCAGCCTAAATGCCCTTCTGAACTAGTTCGGTTCTTTTCTTCATTTTTGGTCACATCACATACATGATCATGAATAACTTCATTGCAACATTTGCTGTGCTTCTCTTGTTTTGGTTTCTATTGGCAGACACTTCCATCTTTAGCTCAAGTGATGGACAACCACCAACTGGTATTCTTTGCAGCGAAAAGGAAAAAAGAGCCCTTCTAAGCTTCAAACATGGTCTCACAGATCCTGCAAACAGGCTATCGTCATGGTCTGTTCATCAAGACTGTTGTCAATGGACAGGAGTCCACTGCGACAATGTAACAGGCAGAGTCATTGAGCTCGACCTCCACAATCCATATGATATCGTCAGTTATGACTCTTATGAGATGTACAAGTTGGGTGGTAAGATTACTCCCTCGTTGCTGGAATTAGAATTTCTAAGCTACTTGAACTTGAGCTGGAATGATTTTGCAGGTGCGAGTATTCCAAGTTTCTTAGGTTCTATGAAATGTTTAAGATATCTTGACCTCTCAACAGCAGTATTTGGGGGGGCGGTTCCTCATCAGCTTGGGAATCTCTCAAGCCTTCGCTATCTCAATTTAGGTGGAAATGAACTTTCTTTGGAAAACCCTAGTTGGATTGCTCATCTTTATTCCTTGGAATACCTTGACATGAGTAGCATTGATCTTCACAAGGCAACCGATTGGCTTCAAGCATTGAGCATGCTCCCTTCCCTTTCAGAACTGCATTTGTCCCTTTGTCGACTTGATAAAATGACTCCTCCTCAGAGTTATGTTAATTTTACATCTCTTGAAGTCCTTGATTTTTCTGCCAACCGTTTTAATTGCAAGATACCTAATTGGTTGTTTAATCTCAGCAATAGTCTTGTTTCCATTGATCTGAGCTTCAATTATCTATATGGTCACATACCAAGTAGCATATTAAATCTTCACATGTTGAAAAGTCTGTATTTGCAGGACAATCATCTTTCTGGGCAAATTCCAAATAATATTGGCCAGCTGAAACATCTCGAATATATTCTTCTTTATATGAACTCATTGTCCGGTCCCATTCCTACATCTCTCGGAAACTTATTGTCCTTAAGGGAGTTGTATCTTTCTAGTAATCAACTGAATGGTACTCTTCCAAAGAGTATTGGGCGGCTTCCAAATCTAGAGACCTTACACATTGGAAATAACTCCTTAGGAGGCATTGTTTCTGAAGTGAATTTCGCGAAACTCTCAAAATTGAAGGTTCTCGAAATTTCTTTAAACTCTTTCTCCTTTAAGGTGAATTCTGATTGGGTTCCTCCCTTTCGACTCGAGTCCATTGCAATGGGTTCCTGCAAGATGGGTCCAAAGTTTCCTGCATGGCTACGAACACAAACATCTCTTAAGCAGTTAGACATTTCGCAGTCGGGAATTTCTGATGCAGCTCCAGACTGGATTTGGAATTTGGCTTCACATATGGAGTTGATCAATCTCTCTGACAACCAGATCAACGGTAACATATCAACCGTCTTGCTAAATTCTAGTGTCATTGAATTGGGATCTAATTCCTTTAAAGGCCATCTGCCACATCTATCACCAAATGTTAAAGTCCTGAATTTGGCAAATAATACATTTTCTGGATCCATTTCCTCTTTCCTGTGCCAGAAGGTGAATAGAGACAATAATTTAGAAGTTCTGGACGTGTCAAATAACCTTTTATCAGGTGAACTTTCTAATTGTTGGATGTATTGGCAATCTTTGACCCATATAAATTTGGGGAGCAATAACCTGTCTGGTAAAATTCCTAGCTCAATGAGTTATTTATCTCAACTTGAATCATTGCACTTGCATGATAATAGCTTCTTAGGAGAGATACCGGAATCGTTGAAGAACTGCACGTCATTGGGGCTCATTGATTTAGGTGAAAATGAATTCACAGGAGTAATGCCAAGCTGGATGGGAGAAATAACAACTCTAATGGCCCTTCGTTTGAAATCCAATAGAATTGTCGGCAATATTCCTCCACAAATATGTCAGCTTTCTTCTATTATAGTTCTGGACCTTGCCAACAATAGTCTGTCAGGAACTATTCCAAAATGTTTGAATAATATCAGCGCAATGGCTGAGATAGATACTTTAGATTCTGAATATTTTGAAGCTTTAGAGTATGGGAATGACTATGGCTCCTACATTGAGACACTCTGGTTGGTCACAAAAGGGAGGAACTCAGAGTACAGAGGCATTCTTAAACTTGTTAGGAGCATAGACCTTTCAAGTAACAGACTGTCTGGGCCAATCCCTCCTCAGCTATCAGGTCTTCATGCATTGCGTTTTCTGAACTTATCTCATAATCACTTGAGAGGTAAGATACCAGAGAAAATCGGGGGCATGACAATGTTGGAATCCCTGGATCTTTCGAAAAATTATTTGTCAGGTGAAATTCCTCAGAGCATGTCTAATTTGACATTTCTTAATTACTTGAATTTGTCCTACAACAACTTGTCTGGAATAATCCCTTCAAGCACCCAGCTTCAGAGCTTTGATGAAGCTAGCTTCATCGGCAATGCTGAACTTTGTGGAGCTCCTCTCTTAAAGAATTGTACAACAGAGAGGGAATATCAAAGTGAAATCCCTGTGGGCCAAGATAAAGAAGAATCTGAAATGTTTTGGTTTTATATAGGGATGGGACCTGGATTCGCTGCTGGCTTTTGGGGAGTTTGTGGTGTTCTTTTCTTTAAGAGGACTTGGCGGCATGCTTATTTTAAATTTCTTGATGACATGAAAGACAGGATCTATGTGGCCACACTGCTACAAGTGAACTGGTTTTGCAAGAAGTTTAAGAGATCCAGGTGATGTCCAGTGACAGGCATCAATCAAGTTTTTAGAGGTAATGGCTTCAAAGTTCCTTTAATGGTTGTTTAGTTGAAGTGTCTACTTTGTTCTTGCTGTTATAGTTATAAAATAAATTGAGCATTGTGTGGTTTGTATTATGTGAGCATGGCACTTGGTTTTGTTATTGGCTTTTGGGGTGTATTTGGTCCTATACTGTTCAAAAGGTGTTGGAGATTTGTATGGTTTGAGTGATGCATAGCATGTGGCATAAATTGTGTTTCTGTAGGTATGTGTAATTCTATGTAGTCATTTTGATTGAGTGGTGATCATCATTCAATTATAGAGTATGTTGTAATTTAATTATGCAAAAGTTGATTACATGGATGATATCTAAATTATATATATTTGTTTGCACTTTGCATTCTCCTGTTAAGCTTTAAGCTTTGGATTATTTCTATGTTGGGATGCTAACAAAGTTTCAAGTTAGGGTGTGGGCCAAAGTAATTGTTGTTTTTTTTTTAGTAGAATAAATTGGTAATGATTATACTATTCTCACACACGTACGAAGGCTCGATCCCCTAACCTTCTTTTAGAAAGTAAGGACCTGATACACTCGCCCATTGGTAAAATGATAGTTGTTTACCACAAGGGGCACACACAAACACACAAAAAGGGCGTTGGAAGTAAAATTTACCATCTGATGAAAAGTAATCTACTCCATTACAGTATAAGCAGATGAAATAAGTCATCTATACTAATGCATATATGTGGAATATTGTGTCGAACAACGATAATAGAATTTGGGCACAGTGAGGACAAAGCACATCTAATTAGGGGAAGTAATTTCTGAGAAATAAACGTACCTCAGCAAGAATCATGGAATTGGAAGAAGATGTTATAACTCCATCAACAAGTTGGATCTATCTTCCACTGTATGTGCCCTATGGAGAGAGAGCGCAACGCTCGAATTTTCAGAGGCTCTGTATCCACCCAATCAAATAATTTTTTACAGAGCATTTGCGATCTCATCAGAGGATGCAATTAGGGCTATCCATGTCTGTGATCTTCCAGATTCGTCTTCATCAACCAACCTTGCGTAGAAACAACGAAGCAACCGTTGCAATCTCTCTGTTACCCGAAAATATTGACTCCGAGAAGAAGGTTAAATGAAGAAGATGGGTTGGGCTGCTTCTCTTATGTTGCCTTTTGTTTGGGTTTTTGACTGGCCTCTCCAAGACTGTTTGGTGGTCCGCTCCATTTTTCATTTCTACCTGTTCATTAATTTTTTTTTTTTCCTAATACAATCTGAATTTCCGGAAAAAAACACACAAATATATATATATATACACACACTAGGAAAAGGCAATGAATGTTTTGTAACTTCTCTCATTTTTTTTTTCATTTTTTCTTTTTTTTCTAATTGTTGATTTGAAACTTGTAATAATAAACCTTACAAAATATAGCAATTTTGTAACTCTTTTTATGTTAATTAATAAATATTTTTTTATATTAATAAATAAATACTGAAATATTTTGAAATTGGTGGTAGAGTTTGAGTTTTTGTAGAGTAATAAATTCTTTTAGATTTTTATATTAATACGGAAATATTTATATTTAATTTTTTTTTATTTTAATACTGAAATATTTAAGTTTTGCATAGTAATAAATTCTTTTAATTAATTTGAATTTTATTAAGTAATTTGTAAATTAAATTTTATTAGGTAATATTTAAAAAATTATATATATATAATATTAAAGATTTGAATTTTAATAGGTAATTTGTAATTTGAATTTTATTAGAAAATTTGAAATTTAGTATAATTTTAAATTTACAATAGAAATTCAATTATACTAATCATACATTAGATTTAAATTGATATAAAAATTTATTGTATGGAGTTTGTGATTTTTTGGAAGACCCTAGGTTATATTTTATTTTCTTTAAATATATCATTTTATAATGTGATATAGTTTTAAAGAAAATATATAAGGTAATTTGTAAAAGAGTTTTATAGAAATTATTTTATTTTATTTAAATATATCCTTCTAAAATTAAATTTTCTTTTATTAAAAAACTCATAATATATAGATAAATACAAGGTTATATGTGATAGAGTTCTCTTTTTATATTAATTAATAATTATTTTTATATTAAAAAATAAATATTAAAATGCTGAAATTCTTTACACTTTTATATTTTATTTATATGTATTATTATATATTTTCTTTAAATATATTCTTGTATAATGTGATAAAATTTTAAAGAAAATAAAATAGGTAATTTGTGGTAAAGTTTTAAATAAATTATTTTATTTTCTTTAAATATATCTTTATCTAATTAGATTTTCTTTTATTAATAAACTCATGATAAATAGATAAATACATGTTATATGTGATAGAGTTTTAAATAAAATAAAATAGTTAATTTGTGGTAAAGTTTAGTTAAATTGTGTTACAGTTTTATAGAAACTCTCTAAATACATCATTATCTAATGTAATAGAGTTTCATTGAAAATAAAATAGGTAATTTGTAGTAAAATTTTATATAAATTATTTATTTTCTTTAAACATATATATATCCTTGTCTAATTATATTTTCCTTTATTAAAAAAACTCATAATAAATAGGTAAATAAATAATATGTATTAGAGTTTTTATAAAACATCTTTTAAAAACACTTTTTATATGAATTAATAAATATTTTAATATATTAATAATTTTTGTCTAATTATATTACCTTTTAATAAAAAAGATTATAATAATAGGTAATTTGTGATAGAGTTTTAGAAAAAAATATTTTATTTTTTATATTAATAATTCTTGTTTAATTAGATTTTTTTTTATTAAAAAAAAACTCATAATAAATAAATAAGTATGTAATTTGTGTTAGAACCTCTTTTTATATAAATTAATAAATAATTTTTTATATTAATAATAATTGTCTAATTAGATTTTCTTTTATTAAAAAACTCATATTAAATAGATAAATATGTAATTTGTGTTAGTGTTTTATAAAAACTCTTTTAAAGCCACTTTTTGTATCAATTAATAAATAATTTTTTATATTAATAATAATTATCTAATTAGATTTTCTTTTATTAAAAAACTCATAATAAATAGATTTAATTTTATTAATAAAGTCATAATAAAAGCTAATTTGTCGTAGAGTTTTAAAAAAAATTATTTTATTTTATATATCAATTAATAAATATTTTTTATATTAATAATTCTTGTTTAATTAAATTTCCTTTTAATAAAAAATTTAAAATAATAAATAGATAAATATGTTAATTTAAATTTTATTATGTAGATTTTAGAGTTTTATAGAGTTTTTTTTTATATAAAAACTCTTGTTATATCAATTAATAAATAATTTTTTATATAAGTTAATAAATACTGAAACTCTTTACACGTTTAATAATAGTATGGATAAAAACTCTTTTTATAAAAATTTTATATTAATAATTCTTCTCTAATTAGATTTTCTTTTGTTAAAAAGCTGATAATAAATAAATAAATAAGTAATTTGTGTTAGAGTTTAATAGAAACTCTTTTAAAAACTCTTTTTATATCAATTAATAAATATTTTTTATATTAATAATTTTTGTGTAAATAGATTTTCTTTTATTAAAAAATTCATAATAAATAGACAAATAAGTAATTAGTGTTAGAGTTTTATAGAAACTCTTTAAATATATCTTTATCTAGTGTAATAGAGTTTTATTGAAAATAAAATAGGTAATTTCTAATTGAGTTTTATTACGTAGAGTGGTTTTTTTAAATAAATAAATAAATAAAAAACTTTTTTCATGTCAATTAATAAATATTTTTTATATAAATAAATAAATACGGAAACTCTTACACATTTAATAATAATATAGATAAAAACTCTTTTTATATCAATTAATAAATATTTTTTTATATAAAGAAATAAATACTAAAATTTTATATAAATAAATACTGAAACTCTTTGGCAGAACTTCTGTATTTTACTCTTGAATGCTGGATTTCTAGAATTCTCAATTCCTGTACCCCTTTCTCCTTCCTCAATACCTCTATTTATAGGCTTCTTGGATTAATAAGATGATATACATGTGTCCTTTCTTGATAATGACATATCATAACTGGGCTGGATTGGTTATATTGTGATAATTATCTATAAATAAATAAAAAAAAAACTAATTTTTTTTATATCAATTAAAAAATCTTTTTTTATATAAATAAATATTGAAATACTTTGCACATTTAATAATAGTATAGATAGATATAGGTACGGTTAAGATTTGTATGTGGAAACTCTATTAAAACCATATTTACATAAAACTAAAATTAATATTTTCCAAATTATTTCTTATTTAGGCAAGAGATTCATTACAAAAGTCAACATAAAATAGTCAAATATTCTTTGCTTACAAACAATTCAATTTCTCAATATTCTTTGCTAACAAACAATCAATTGGTCAATTTGCTTAAAGGAGATGATTCCTTTATGAATAATAATTTAAGGATCCCTTTATGAATAATAATTTAACGATCCAATTAGTTAGTTATAGAATTCAATTCATGTGTAATGTCATTATTACATCATGTGATGGAATTCACCATTCTTTTTATATAAATTGAATTCAGGAACTACCGAATTCGGTCCCTAACGCTATGTTTGTTAAGAAAGAAAGAAGAGGGGCGGAAGAGAAATAGGAACGAAAGAACAAATTTCCTTAATTCGGTAGAGATGATATAAGGAAAGAAAGAATAATTTCACAAATTTTCATCAATTCCATAAATAAAGTAAGGGATAATTTTAAGGGATAATTACGTATAAATGGGGTTAGGGCTCCGTATTTACTCAGAGGCGGAGTCAAAGTTTCATATTTCCCTAAAATGAATTGCTGACGTGGCACATGAATTATTACTGTTCAAGAAATGTTTTGCCAAAAATGTCCTTCTCACTTTTTTCGGTGTTGCCTAAAATGCCCTTTCTCCATAATTTAATATATTGCCCTAATTCGTTCGGTAAATACGATCTTCTTTGGCCCTAAAAATAAAATTCTCTCATTCGCTGCTCTCTCTCATCGCTGCTCTCTCTCTCTCTCTTTCTCCACGACTCTTTCTAAGCCGGTCCCTCCACCCTCTCTCTCTAGCTTTATCGCTGTAGGAATTGAGAAACCCAGCTCAATTTTCAGTCCAGCTACAATGGGCTCAGAAGAGGGATCAAGGGTTCTCGGTGAGCTTCAAACCATACATTTGTCAGTGCATTTTCATTGTTTCAGTTGAATTTTTCTTGTTTTCTTTTTTCGGCTGTAAATTTGGATTGAGTTATGATGATTTGGTGTTTCTTAAGCTTTTTTGTTGTAATGGTTCTTGTTTTTGTGTTTTCTTCTTATTGTAGGCTATTGGGTTTTCTAAAATTAGGGTTTTCTTCCTATTGTAGGCTATTGGGTTTTGTAAAATTAGGGTTTTCTTCCTATTGTAGGCTATTGGGTTTTCTAAAAATAAATATAGAAACTACACAACAGGAGCCAGCTGCAACTCCTTTTTTTTTTTTTCACTCAATCTAATAGGAAAAATGTAGAGAGCGTGATTTTACATCATGGATCGCTGGCACTTATAAAATGTTTTACATAGCACTTGAAAAACAAGAGTTCAAATTTGAGGAGTTGTCACTTAAGAAACAAGGAATTACTCTTATCGTGCACTATGGTTGGTGTCTCTCAAATTCGTTGTGAATCAGTTGCTCTGTTTCCAATTTATTTTAATTTTTATTTTTTTTTTAAAAGAAATTGTCACTAAAATTTTCTTACTTCATCATCAATCAATTGCACAGAGCACCATCACATCAATCACTACAGACTCAACTGATTGATTTAACTGTCTAACAAGCTATTGGTTGTTTGTGAATAGGCGAGTAATGGTGAGGAGCCAATGAAGCTGAAGCTATATTCTTCCTGGGGGAGCTCTTGCTCTTGCCGTGTTCGTATCGCTCTCAACTTCAAAGGTCTCTCTCACTCTACTACTTTCGCTCTCTAAATTTTGATCAGTCAATTTCTTCTGCCGGTTTCACTTTCTAAAACCCTGATTTTTTATTTGATTTTAGTTAAAAAAAAAAATTTTTTTGTTAATTATTGACCATTAGTTATCGCCTCTTTCAACATAGATCTCAAATATGAGTACAAAGCAGTTGATGTCATGAAATGAGAACATTTTAGTCCTGGTGAGAACATACATGGTGTCTCAAGAAATTTCTTGTAGTATTTAGGCTTATTTATATGATGATAAAGTATGATATTTATAATAATTAACATATTGGGTGTCTGGCATTAATGTTACACTATGGACATTCAAACTTCAGAATTCATTTTTTGTTCACACATTATGATCAGTAACTTTTGTTGGTGGTGGATAATTTATCAAAGAAAGTTACTTTCAGCTGGAAATAGACATCAATTTAAAGGAGAAGTCACCCTCTCTTGAAAAGAGTCATAAGCTCTCTTCACTGGCTATTGGATTGAGAAAAATATCGTAATTTGTGAATGTAAAAACACAGTCTGAGAATCTTATATCAGTCCTATCCATAAAGAGAATTCATGGCTCTTGTCAACTGGAGATCTTTGGATAGCTTTACTATTAATTTAAAAGGTTTATTTGGAAATGCAGAAATGTAACACTAATTTCATAAGTTAGTGTTTGTCTTAACTTTTTGATCCATTTCATGCATCTAATAAGTGAAAACAAAATAGAAACTTGATTATTATCTATTGCTTGTAATATTATATATATATTCAGTTTGGCCTTATAAAATAGAGTCTTGAACGGTCGTTGCAATTTAATCATTGGCCTAAAAGTTTTTGGGACTCTAGCTCCATATTCTTTTTTGGTAGTCTTTATATATCTTGTTAATGTGTTATCTGTTTTTTGAGTATAGAATATTTAAATATCTTGTCAATATCTTGCTATTGTAGGCTATTGGGTTTTCTAAAAAGAAAGATAGAAACTATTAGATATAAGGGGACTACACAAAAGGAGCCGGCTGCAACTCCTTTTTTTTTCACTCAATTTAATAGGAAAAATGTAGAGAGCGTGATTTTACGGGTTGGATCGCTGGCACTTATAAAATGTTTTACATTGCAATTGAAAAACAAGAGTTAAAATTTGAGGAGTAGTCACTTAAGAAGCAAGGAATTACTCTTATCGTGCTCGTATCATACTCTTTAAATACTAACCAATATGTGTTCCTTACTTTTTAAACTTAGTGCTTTCTAGACAGTGGCTTTAAATTGAATGTACCCACTAAATGGTTGATTTGTTAAAATAAGCTATATCCTATTATGCACTAAAATAATTGGATTGGTTATGTACTTTCTGCTACAATGGTTTTCACATAACATAATTGTCTGTGTTCGATGATTAACACTCGCAATCAGCATCTTTCTTGAGCCTCTTTGTTCTTTTGAAAGAATATTCTTTGAGCATTTGACTTGACCAATATATGAAAAATGATATATCTCAAATTTCTGTTGTTTCGAGACAGGAAACCTTCACTGACTTCAATTTTTTGTAAATAATGACAGGATAAGTTCTCATCTAGTGAAGATAAAGTGGAAGTTGTTATTAAGATTTTTTAAATTGATGTCATTCCTGTTATTGTGAACTTCAGAAGGTTAGTTTCTATAATCCTCTTAAGAATGTATAATCCTCTGAAAAATACCCCTGCACACTATCATACTCTTTAGGATATATAATCGAAATCGTTATAAATTATAGGGATTATTACACATAAATGGACTTAGGGTATCATATTTACTAAGAGATTGAGTCAAAGTCCCATAGTTTCTTTAAAATGGGTTTGACCCAAAAGCTGAGGTGGCACATGAAAAAATACTGTTTGATATTTCTGTTGCCTAAAATACCCTTCTTCCTATTTTATGTGTTGCCTAAAATGCCCTTTTCTACACTTGCCTAATTTCAAGCCCTAAGGCCTTTCATATTCCATTCGGTGTAACCCTCTCTCACGACTCTTTCTCCCTCACTTGTTTCCTGCGATACAGATACAATCTGCCATGGCACGAACAATCTTCGATCTGCTAAAGGGAAATCAAATACTCAGGCTCAACGGTTCCTCTTTCCCTCTTTGCTGAAACCCTAACCTTTCTCTTCCTAATTTCTGGTGTAGCGGCAATAACTGGACGGTTGCAAACAATTGGGGTTTTTTACCGTCATCTCAGCCTCCGGTCATGTTATAACTCTTGAAATAGGTACTTTGACCTAATTAGAGCCCTAATGCTCTTTCATATTTCTATTTGTGCAGACCCTTCTCTCTCCCATTCTCAAATGAGACCTAGCCCTCACTCTATTGAATCCATCAATGAAAGCCTAACCCTTTCTAAGCACTGATATAACTTTGCCTCAATCACAAAGGCTGATTGTTTGAAGCTTTGTCTTTTGCAAGTTTCACCTTCAGAGGAAAATCGCCCAGGTACTGGCCTTGTTCTCCTTTCTTCCTTTTCTAAACATTCATTGATCTTTATTATTCTGTTTTCTTCCTTCTCTGAACTCTCATCAATTTTCTAATTTTTTCTTCAATCGTAGAAGTTATTTCTTCAAGCATAGGGATAAGCCCTAACCCTCTCTAACCCGGGTACTATTTTCCAATTTCCTCTTTCATCTCTGCCTTCCCCTAGAAAGTTGTAGAGTCTCTCTGTAAATGATACTATGTGTTGAAAATTTTAATCAATTAAGTTGTTGTTACTTTCTGCTGACATGATTTCAATTCATGTGTTGTTTACATATTCACTAGATTTGAGGATTCATATGCTGTAAGCTGTGTTTTTCTGTCTTATGAAGTTGCTGGTTTTTTTTATTTTCTTTTATTTATTTATTTTTTTAATAGAAGAATGATTCAGTTTTATCCTTTTTGGTTTTGGTTGTGCTACTGCTCCAATTGGGTGCATACTAATTTGCAATAAAAAGTGGAACTAAACTTTCTTGTTTCTCCAAAGATAAGATTAGAGGATTTTTTTTACTTTAAAAAAAAAAGATAAAAAAATATTAGAGGATTTTTCAAAATAACTGCATACCAGTAATACTGGTAATTTCTTTGTAGTCTCATTGTAAATATGACTATGATTACTATTGATAACTCCTCTGTTCATGGTAGGTGTGATGGCAATAAAATTATTGGTTATATATTATGCAAGGAAGTAAATAAGTCAAATCCAAAAGTTAAGGGAAAAATAACTGTGATGTTAATGAGTTCTCATTGGGAAACACTTGCAACTAATCATGCAGAATTTCATAAAGTTGTGGTAAATCTCAAATTTCTGTTGTTTCGAGACAGGAAACCTTCACTGACTTCAATTTTTTGTAGATAATGACAGGATAAGTTCTCAGCTAGTGAAGATAAAGTGGAAGTTGTTATTAAGATTTTTTAAACTGATGTCATTCCTGTTCTTGTGAACTTTAGAAGGTTAGGTTCTATAATCCTCTTAAGAATATAATCGAAATCACTATAAATTATATTAACCCAAAAAGACAATCAGAGCTACTTCACCAAAAACCCATAAGCCTGAACTCTCTTCAAGGACTTCACAACTGTGACTAGTACCATGTGATGAGAGGTTATATACAAATTTATAAACTCAATCTACCATATAGCACAAATCCATGTATAATGGGTAAGGCAGTCAAGTAGTTCCTAATATAGTAGTAGTTATGTAAGGAAGAAGCTCTTCAATATTGGTATGTATAGAAGAGACTACGTACCTATGCTATGTCTGACTGTGTAGTTAAAAGTGCTATTTTATAGCCAGAAGTTAGACACATACGCGATAACTAAGTGGTTGCCATAGGGAATATCGGAAAGAAGTAGTACCTTAATCTGCTACAAAATAAGGAACTACGACTACAAAATATTTGCTACAAGATATGGAGTATATATGTATTGGCTACTAACTACCTCCTGGGACATAGTATGCACTACCTCCAATAATGATACTAACATTATATTTCTTCAATTATTTGGTACAATTTCAAGAATCTTGTTTAGTCACTTTTGTTTTTTTAGATAATTACTCCAAAAATATTATTTTTAAGTTTTCTAGTTAAGTTTAATGGTGGTTAATAGCATGCTTTTTACATACGTGCTTTAATTTTGGTGAGAAGGTGAATATAATGATTATGGAAGTATCAACTAGGTATAATCTCTTATATAGGAATAAGTAGTTGATATATTCTACCAACAATTGCAGTTATCTTATACAATAAATGTGTTAATTATTTCATCTTTGTCTTAGTTTTGCATCTTTAATCTTATGACTTTACTTCTCAATTATTAGGGATTAGATTCCATATTATGCCTATTTGATTACTGAAATGTCACAATTTTCTCCCCTTACCAGAAACATATGCATACTAAAGATTTCTTTCTATTAAAATGTTGAATTCCAAGCGAATAATGTACTTCTTTTGTAGATTTTATACCTCAAGTTGCTAAAATTTTGTTCCAGACATTCCATCAAGCTAAAGTACAATTATTTCTAATAACGTAACAGTAGAAGTGCATGTTATTCCCAGCCATGAAAATAGTATTTTCTCTCTATTTTTTTTTCCTTGGCAAACTAGAAGGAGAAAGGACTCGAACACAGGAAGCTGGCCACTCTATCAATTAGGCCACTGGGTGATACTCTTTTCTCTATAGAATGAACAAGTTGACTGAAAAATAATTTAGGATAAGTAGATTATTGTTGATTAATTAATCTCATTTTGTTGGATTTGTCTTACTAATAATGGTGTCTATGCAAAATTTCATTTTGTAGCATATGTGGATGATGTTTCTTTGTGTATGTTGAGAATTAACAATGTAGGACAAAGGGCTAGCTATGTCATTAAATTTGTTTGCTAGAAGGCATGGACTTTGGTATTGATCATCCCAATCTTTTATAAAAGTTTAAGTCATTGCTTGGACTTTTTAAGTTAAGATGTAGGTTAAATTAGGCTAGAACACAACAATTTTGAACTGTCCATTATTTGGTAGCAGAGAAAATAAGGAAAGAAGAAAAACTTTAAGATTAACAAGTTTCTATAAAGGAGTAGAATTGTTACAAGATTCCATGTTTCCTAATTTCTTCTTATTTTCCCAATTTCTTGGCAACCAAACATAGTATAAAGTATAAGGACTTAGGAAAAGATTAGTTGAATGGACTTGTATCCAAATTTTCAGATTTTCCAATAGTTATTAGGAAGCCTTTTTATGCATAATGTACAATTTATTGCAAATTTCAATCACTTGTGAAAGTAGTACAGCAATTATTGAACCTTTTTTTACTATTTCATTGTTATTATTGTATATATGTTTGAATATTGTTGATGTAGCAAGTCTCATGATTGTTTTTTCCTTTATACCTTATGTGGATACATAATTTGAAACTTTGAACTAGCATTTAGAGACATCGTAGAGCATTCCTTGGCAGATTATCCTGTTAATTTAAGTTTTTCATGCGTTTCACCTATCTTTTAGATTTGATATTCATTTGTTTACAGAAAAAGAAGTCAATGGTCCAAATTTAATCAACAATTAAAACTAAGAATCTACAGTCACACAGACACATTTTCTCAATCTTTTGCTCCAACAGTGAGAAGTTGCAAAGCATGACGCGCGTATTTTATTTTGACTAACAATTATGATAACAAGGCTCCAAATTTCCCATCCTCCAGAACTTCTTAAGAACTCAATTCATTTATGCGAACCGAGCTGAGTAATTGGTTTATTTGAGTGAGTCAAGTTTGATCACAACTGTTTAAAAATTAACCAAGCTCAAACTAAGCTCAGACACTGCTTCTAACCAGCCAAGCTGAGCATAAGCTCTATAAAGTTGGCTTGACTCAGCTTGTTTACAGCCTACGAAATGGCTGATCTCATACTTAAATATGTCTCCTTATAGTGGCCAGTTTAAGCTTTCACCATGTCACCTGACCCCTTTTTTTTATCAAATATATATATATATATATATATATATATAAAGTAGCATTTTGAATACTAAAGAGTTGAACTATCACAAAAATATACTAGGCCATGTAGAAATTCCCACGTCTTGAAGAACCGGCTGGCTGGTGATTGTCCCTTCCACTTCCAAAACCTTTTCTCCTTTTGCTGATCGAAATGCAGAAAGGAGAGATGACCCTGATTGGGTCTTCAATTTTCTTATTGCCCTTTAAGAAAGACAAAAAAATTAATATTTAGAAGTTGGATTTGATGTGACCTTATTTATAAATTCATTATAGGATAAATTATTTAAACTTGAAACTTGAACGGAGACTCAAGAAAACGTCATCAGAATATCTCCCATCAGTTAACTGGACTCATGTACACATATATTTCTGAAAGTAACATGTATGTGTGAGATTTGTCAAACCACCAAATTACAAATTCTGAGTTTCAACAAGAGTATATCTAAAGAAAACAAGGGTTGAAGTAGTTTTTAGTTTAGCATACAGTTGCCAGTTTGAAGAGAGCCTTGCATTCCTAAGCATGCTAACTCTATTTTCTTTCATTAATTCTTTCTTTATTTCTTTGTTTCTGATGCACACTTTCTTATTTCTTTACACTTAGAATAGCCTTCCTTAATTTACAATTATAGTAACATAAAAGCTAAAGCATGTGGTTCGTATTTTGTAGCATAACTACTGCATAAGACTCAGCTTAAATGAAGACTGGACTTATAAATTTGAATATCTGTGTCATGTTCGATTTTCTATTAATAGTTAATAAGTTGGTGTATATGTCTTAAGATGACTGTTCGTGTTCATTCTAGCTTCTCGTGTTTATGGTTATCTTGTTCTGAGATTTGTAACTGTAATTCTTGTTTTGCAAACTAAATCCTATTTGGTGAAAATTTTTATGATCTTTTTTATATACTTTTTTTTTTATTTATGAATTTTAGTTATAAATATTTGTGAAGATAATGACTGAAACAGGATCTCCCTTTGCAGGATTTGAAAGACTAATTGGTAAATTTGGGTTGAACTTTAGTCTTGAACAAGCTGAAGGCCCTTATTGTGGATTATAATTTTTACAATTGCAGCACCCTACGGTCTTACCATATTTTAGAGTGCTTTCATCACTTCATACTGGTAAGTCATATCTTTAATTATTTAAATATATATATATATTTTTTATTCCAGTTTTTTTCATGCTAATAATAAATTGGATGTTAACCGCATGAAGCATAAATCTGTCAATTAAGACAGGCACCCAATTGTATATGAAACAAAGTACAATATAAAGTAACAAAATTTATTAATATATAAACAACAAAATTTTCATTTTTTTATTTTTTTATTTTCTTTTGTGTGTGTGTTTTTGTGTTTGAAGGTTGAAAGATTTGTGTAGTTATTCAGTTGTAGAAGCAACAAAAACACTTCCAGTGCTTCCCAAAAATAAAAATCATCATTATCATGGTGTTGTCATAAAACTTTATTTGAAAAAGGATAATTCTTAACTTATTTATTTGACTCGAGAAACTGATGTTATTAATATTTGTGGGCCAATTTGGGTGCTTAATTGGTAATTGATTGTGTGTTTGAATTTTGAATGTCCTAGATTCAAAGGGGGAAGCCACATAAACTTGCACTGAGAATGGCATAGACTTTATAAGTTGTAACCTTCCAGCACAAAATGAGTAGTTGGTAGTCCAAAACTCCTCAATTAAAGGATCACAGTGCTGCTTATTCAGTCTATTAGACAATAATAAAACTCCCAAATATCTAATTGGGAGAATTAGGTTTTGAGTAGCAGTCTATATACCAGATCAGAATATGACACCTCTTTGCATTATTTGGAATCAAGCTAGAAATAGAAGTTAAAACTAAATTGAGCTATTGATTCTGTCAGTATTTTAACAGATTCAACATCCCAGCTGCGATTAACATAAGATCATCAACAAAAAGGTCCATTACTTATCCTCTGAGCTGAGCATTTCCAATGGTAATCGAAACCCCCTAGAGTTATTCTCTAATTAAAAATACGGGGTAGAACCTTCATTCCTATAACAAATGGTATGAGGACATTGGATCCTTCCTCCTTCCCTTATTAGGTAAACCATACAACCATTAACATCCAAGGAAAAGAACTTTTCAACAATTTCAATAAAAGAAATAAAAATAAAAACTGTAAGTGTTTTTTTTTTTTTTCCTTTTATCTATTCGATTGGGTTAAGTGATGCTTTATATATGCTTATTTTTGTGTGTTTTACCTATCATTAACGTGCTTAGTTGGATTAATTCCGAAGAATGTGTATTGAATTAATGAATTAGGAATATATGAGTACTCCCAAGTGCCTTTGTAAGCTAGCAAATTTGAGATTGAATCTTTTCAACATGTAATGTGTAGAAGTGCAAATTGGTAAATTTAAGTTGGACTGTTATGTCCATATATGTGCTCTATCCTTCCTTTTTGTATCTAATGTGCCTGTGTTGGTAATTTATTTGTAGATGTTGAATACCCGGTGTTCTCCAAATAAATTCAAGGAAACGGTTTGCAATTTAAGTGAAGACAAAAAGGTTGCCGTACAAGAGATTGGGTTTGGGTCCCTTTTAGACATCGAGTGTACCATTTTGAAGCGCAACCTGTGCTTATGGTTGGTAGAACACTTTGACCCTAGAACATCTCATCTCACCCTTGAATCTGGCGCTCGGATCCATGTTACGCCAAGTGACGTTGAAGAGGTACTTGGCCTACCCTCGGGAAGAGGAGAAGATGTGCCAAATTATATTGTACAAAGTGTGCATTGGTTAGAAAATGGCATTTTTTTAAAGGACGGTGTAATAGAAGTGCCAAACTTAGTGCATCAATTAGACGTTCTTCCTGTTGGGGATGACTTCAAGAGGGCTTTTGTCCTTTTCGCTTGCGGATCACTTCTAGCACCCATATCGAAAAATGAGACAAGCAAAAGGTTATTGGCAGCGGTTGACAATGTGGATGCTATTAAATCGTATAATTGGGGGAAGTTTGTTTTAGATTGGTTGAAAAAAGGAATTGCGTCCTATAAAGGAAAGGAAGGAAGAGAAGGTTGTACATACATACATGGATGCTTGTTCTTTCTCATGGTATGTTCTAAGATATAATATTTGTAATGTGTCTATCATTTTATTTTAAATAGCTATAATGTCATTATCATAATGGCTTATATGTTGTAGCTTTTCTACCTACACCGTGTGGATGTCAATGGACCAAAACCGAAGCCTGAGATGTCATGCGTACGTGGATGGACCAACAAATTAATAGGCGAGAGATTGAATTTGGAGAAGCATAAATATAATGGTTTCGGCTTCGGTGAGGTAAAGTTTACAACTGATACATCTGAAGATGCCGATAAGGTAATCACGTCAATTATGGCTTTTTATAATTGGTACTAAATATACGGTTATATTTGCATATTCATAATTACTTGGAACTCTACGGTTACATTTATATATTAACTGATATATATATTTATTAAACTTGTTTAAAATTGTTAGGAGTTGGCATATGAAATTATTAAAGTTGTTAAGAAATGGAAGCAACGGCACAATGTAGGCCAAGGCAGGGGGTCGAGATCCTCAGAACCCAGTTCATCCACACGACAACCTAACCCATCTTCGCAATTGTTTGCACAACACAATCCGATTGAGGAGGAAGATGAATCCCACATACCAGTGGAGGAGGAATTCGAAACCTCCACAAGACAAGCAAACTCACCCTGGCAATCTTTTACAAAACACGATCCCATGGAGGAGGAAGGAGAAATCCCCGCACCAATGGAGGAGGAAGTGGGAACCTCCACAGCAATGGAAGAGGAGCGTGATGTGCAAGAAGCAGTGATCCCTTTATTACGTGTTATAAAGCCTGGGCGCCATAAGGGATCACCTTGGGTTGAAATGAAGGTCAACCGATTGCGTGTCCTTCGTCCAGAAGCAAAGGCAGTCATCTCATATGCCATGGATGAGAGCAGAAATGATGAGTGAGAAATTATATAAATAATTTCTTATTTGCTCTATATTTACTTACTTTCTATGTTCAAACACTTAATATGTTATTGTTTAATTATAGTGAAATGCTGGTGAACATAAATGATATTTTCCTCACAAGAAAAGAGATGAGAACAATCTCTTACAATCATTGGATATCAAATATGGTATGTTCACTTAAAGTTCATTGATTTTTCAAAACAATCACACGCATGCATTAATGGTTTAAATGTGATCATTGTAGGTGGTTGAAGTCTATTGCCAAATGCTCCAGCTGAAACAAAAGCGTAGAGGAACCAAATTTTTCTTTCCGCCTTCGATTGGGGTAACAAATTCTTCTATCTATAGTGAATGTTTGTTTGACACATATTAGGTTATCAATTGTGTGCATTTTCAGATTGAACTTTCCAAGATACCTTCAAAAGTGGTTGATAGGAAAGGTAAAATACAAGCAGTTTGGAACAACTATAAAAGGATAAGGAATGTCGATGATAACAAAGTTTGCCAATTCAATATGGTAATATTTATCGCTTGCAAACATAAATAATTATTATACTTTTATCAAAAAAATATGATTCTAAAAGTAATTAAATTTTTACATTGTTAAATATGCAGCTTTTCTTTCCAATACTTGTAAATGAGAAACATTGGTGCTTGTATGTCTTTAACATTTGCGATAGTCGTATGGATGTGTTGGATTCAAACAAACATTCTTCGCATGATAAGCGTACTCCAGATAAGATGTCAAAAGATTTGGTAAACGCTTATTACATATGAGCTCATTTTTTTGATTATGTATTCATTTATTGTTAAATTAGGACGGTAAAGTATACAAGTTGAAGAACGTGGTACTGAATTTTTTACTCTAATCATTTATATATTGTGCATTTGTAGGTAATGTTGGTTGAGGTATTCACCGGAAGAGATCTACAAAACTTCATATACAATGTGCCCAACGTACCTCAACAGCCCGATAGGTAATTTTATCACTTAATGTTCCTAGTTTGGTGTACTGATTATGTTCACAATTATAATTAACAGATACCTAAACAGTCTTTTATTCAGTGATAGTTGTGGTGCTTTCATGTTGGACTTCATGGAGAAATGGGATGGTTCACTCAGTCACCCAAAAGAGAAGGTGAAGCCCAATTCTATTTTTTACATGGGTCTTATTTATTTTTTTCCCCGAATGAAGAAAATACCGAATTACTAAATCACACAATCTCCTCGATACTCTTCGTTAATCATTTAATTCTCTGTTTTCTTCTAAACCATTGGTGCATTGTTAATCTAAGCACCCACTGGTCATTAGTCTTCAAAGGAAGAAATGGGTCTTGCCTTTAAAGGTTTCAAAAAATATATTTGTAAAACTGATCCACATTCCTACATACTTTTGTTCAAGGGTTGAAACTGGAGGGTCTTCAATTCCAATACATGCAAACATAATTTAAAAAATTAATGCAACCACAAAATGCATCCACTATAACGTTTTCCTTCCTCTTCACTGCACTCCCCATTCTGTTTTTACACGTTTTCCAGCTTATACCTTTCTTTTTTCTTTTTGCATCTTTTAAACCCATGTTTGTGTGCAAGTACTTCGCTTTCCGATCTCTCCCCGCTAGGCTGCAATGTCGTAGTGTCAATAGCGGGAAGACCAGGGGACTATGGCACGTGTTGAAACAAAGAGAGCGGTAAGCACCCCCTTTAGGCAACAAAATTTTCAACCTTAGAACCCCCTAATGCAGTATACCCTTAATGTGTGCCATTTTTTTGAAAGAGAAAGCATCCAGCTCTAGTGAGTTTTAATCTAACATGAAGTAAGCAATAAAATGAACCATGTAATGAATGATATAGAAAATGTTTGACATCCACTGTATAATGGGTCCTATCGAGTAGAAACCAGCTTTGCTAGATGAGGTTTAAATGAATAGCATATTCTTAAATATTTTCAGACAGTTTTTCATTGTCAAAGAATTCAGTATGAGATCAGTAGCTTAAATCATCAGTCAACCTTGTTTTTCCTACATCACCTAACCAATTAGATACGCAAATACTGGACTCCTGTCATTTTAAATGAACATATTGCAGTTTATATGGTCACTTCACTGTACTTAGTGATGCTCATTAAAAATGAACCGAACACAAAAGATACTGAAACTACGACATATTGAAATGAATGATTAAAAAATTTCAAAATAAATAGTCACTTTAAGATTACTTTTGGAATGTCAGAAAAAAGGTGTGTGCCATTGAGTGTTTGGAATCAGTAAAAAGGGATAACTATTTTGGGACAGGGAGATCTTTCGTATTATTAGATTTGTTTTGGTTTTGTTTATGTTCTGTCTCTGTGCTGATCTGACCAAATTGCTAACATATTTCCCAAGGATGAAGCTACCTGTTTATGCAATATTTCACATATAAAAGTTTAGTATCACCGAGATTTTGTGCATATGCCAAATTCAACATTGTTGAAAAAGTTTTCTTTATCAAATATATAGTTTCTGCAACACTAGATTCCTATCTATTTACACTTATATGTATTCACGCATGAAGTCCATTTCCCTATCCTATATTCATGATTTGTCTTTAACTGGTTTAATTTGCAGGTGGATGTTGATAGATTACGTGCAATTATTGCTTCAAATTTGCTTTCAGATGACAATAACAAAATGAAGGATTTTGTAAAGAACAAAGCACTTTATCCATTTGGTCAAGCATGTTGATTTCAAGTAAGCTTCCATCAGCTTACTTGTGGTTAGTAATTTTTTTTATTTTTTTTTATTTTTATGATTCTAACATCACCTCCATCAGCCAACAAGGTACCATTTACCTCAAGGAACCTCACATACCAGTATTTGCCCAGTTGGAAGCTAGAGGAAGTGGGATAGGACGATCGTTGAATTTTCTAAAAAGTGGTACCTGAAATGATGTGGGATATGGGACATTTGTATTGTTGAATAGTGTCATTTTTTTTTCATGTATTTTGCACTCTGTTGGTGTTAGCTATTTTTAAAGTTTTAAAGAATAGTAGCTTTGCAACTTTTGATTGTGGATTAGGTTGGTATATTTTTGCAACTATTGTATGGCTTATTATATTGGCATCTACCTTACATGAAATCAAATGAAGTTGCTCTTTTGGGTTCTCAGGAATTAGTATTGTATGGCTTATTATATTAGGGTCTCAATGAAATTTCTTTCACTACTATATTAATGTACTAATTTCAAATTTGATGGAGTTTAAAACTGAAGCAGTTTATAATGAATGAAAAATTGGTTTTGGTCTTCCTTGGTTCCATGGTGTCGATAAATGGATAGTTTAATGAATGAAAAATTGGTTTGGATCTTCCTTAGAGAAAACGTGGTACCTTGACGCCAAAAAGAAGTACCTTCAGTTCAAAAAACGTGGTCCCTTTGGGAAAAAAGTAGTACCTTTACAAAAGGTACCTATTTTTGCAATTGAAAATGGTATTACACCCCACATCGCTAATTAAGTTGCACATTACATCCACAAACAGCTCCATTAGCGCCATGAATAAGTGTTTAGAGAAAACGTGGTACCTTGACGCCAAAAATGAGTACCTTCAGTTCAAAAACGTGGTACCTTTGGAAAAAAAGTGGTACCTTCGCAAAAGGAATTTATTTTTGCAGTTGAAAATGTGGTTTTATACCCCACACCGCTAATTAGGTTGCACATTACATCCATAAATAAGTGTTTAGAGAAAACGTGGTACCTTGACGCCAAAAAGAAGTACCTTCAGTTCAAAAAACGTGGTCCATTTGGGAAAAAAGTAGTACCTTTACAAAATGTACCTATTTTTGCAATTGAAAATGGTATTACACCCCGCATCGCTAATTAAGTTGCACATTACATCCACAAACAGCTCCATTAGCGCCATGAATAAGTGTTTAGAGAAAACGTGGTACCTTGACGCCAAAAAGTGGTACCTTTAGTTCAATAATATGGTACCTTTGGAAAAAAAGTGGTACCATTGCAAAAGAGATTTATTTTTGCAATTGAAAATGGTTATACCCCACACCGCTAATTAGGTTGCACATTACATCCATAAATAAATCCATTAGCGCCATGAATAAGTGTTTAGAGAAAATGTGGTACCCTGACGCCAAAAAGAAGTACCTTCAGTTCAAAAACGTGGTACCTTCGCAAAAGGGACTTATTTTTGCAATTGAAAATGGTATTACACCCCACAGCGCTAATTAAGTTGCACATTACACCCATAAATAGCTCCCGTTAGCGCCATGAATAAGTGTTTAGACAAAACGTGGTACCTTTTTTCCAAAAAGTGGTACCTTCAGTTAAAAAACGTGGTACCTTTGGAAAAGAAATGGTACCTCCGCAAAAGAGACTTATTTTTGCAATTGAAAATGGTATTACACCCCACATCGCTAATTAAGTTGCACATTACATCCACAAATAGCTCCATTAGCGCCATGAATAAGTGTTTAGAGAAAACGTGGTACCTTGACGCCAAAAAGTGGTACCTTTAGTTCAATAACATGGTACCTTTGGAAAAAAAGTGGTACCTTTGCAAAAGAGATTTATTTTTGCAATTGAAAATGGTATTGCACCCCACACCGCTAATTTTCTTGCACATTACATCCACAAATAGCTCCATTAGCGCCATGAATAAGTGTTTAGAGAAAACGTGGTACCTTGACGCCAAAAAGTGGTACCTTTAGTTCAATAACATGGTACCTTTGGAAAAAAAGTGGTACCTTTGCAAAAGAGATTTATTTTTGCAATTGAAAATGGTATTGCACCCCACACCGCTAATTTTCTTGCACATTACATCCACAAATAGCTCCATTAGCGCCATGAATAAGTGTTTAGAGAAAACGTGGTACCTTGACGCCAAAAAGTGGTACCTTTAGTTCAATAACATGGTACCTTTGGAAAAAAAGTGGTACCTTTGCAAAAGAGATTTATTTTTGCAATTGAAAATGATATTGCACCCCACACCGCTAATTTTCTTGCACATTACATCCACAAATAGCTCCATTAGCGCCATGAATAAGTGTTTAGAGAAAATGTGGTACCCTGACGCCAAAAAGAAGTACCTTCAGTTCAAAAACGTGGTACCTTCGTAAAAGGGACTTATTTTTGCAATTGAAAATGGTATTACACCCCACAGTGCTAATTGAGTTGCACATTACACCCATAAATAGCTCCCGTTAGCGCCATGAATAAGTGTTTAGACAAAAAGTGGTACCTTTTTTCCAAAAAGTGGTACCTTCAGTTAAAAAACGTGGTACCTTTGGAAAAGAAATGGTACCTCCGCAAAAGAGACTTATTTTTGCAATTGAAAATGGTATTACACCCCTCATTTCTAATTAAGTTGCACATTACATCCATAAATAGCTCCATTAGCGCCATGAATAAGTGTTTAGAGAAAACGTGATACCTTGATGCAAAAAAGTGGTACCTTTAGTTCAATAACATGGTACCTTTGGAAAAAAAGTGGTACCTTTACAAAAGAGATTTATTTTTGCAATTGAAAATGGTATTGCACCCCACATCGCTAATTTTCTTGCACATTACATCCACAAATAGCTCCATTAGCGCCATGAATAAGTGTTTAGAGAAAACGTGGTACCTTAACGCCAAAAAGTGGTACCTTTAGTTCAATAACATGGTACCTTTGGAAAAAAAGTGGTACCTTTGCAAAAGAGATTTATTTTTGCAATTAAAAATGATATTGCACCCCACACCGCTAATTTTCTTGCACATTACATCCACAAATAGCTCCATTAGCGCCATGAATAAGTGTTTAGAGAAAATGTGGTACCCTGACGCCAAAAAGAAGTACCTTCAGTTCAAAAACGTGGTACCTTCGTAAAAGGGACTTATTTTTGCAATTGAAAATGGTATTACACCCCACAGTGCTAATTGAGTTGCACATTACACCCATAAATAGCTCCCGTTAGCGCCATGAATAAGTGTTTAGACAAAAAGTGGTACCTTTTTTCCAAAAAGTGATACCTTCAGTTAAAAAACGTGGTACCTTTGGAAAAGAAATGGTACCTCCGCAAAAGAGACTTATTTTTGCAATTGAAAATGGTATTACACCCCTCATTTCTAATTAAGTTGCACATTACATCCATAAATAGCTCCATTAGCGCCATGAATAAGTGTTTAGAGAAAACGTGATACCTTGATGCCAAAAAGTGGTACCTTTAGTTCAATAACATGGTACCTTTGTAAAAAAAGTGGTACCTTTGCAAAAGAGATTTATTTTTGCAATTGAAAATGGTATTGCACCACACACCGCTAATTTTCTTGCACATTACATCCACAAATAGCTCCATTAGCGCCATGAATAAGTGTTTAGAGAAAACGTGGTACCTTGACGCCAAAAAGTGGTACCTTTAGTTCAATAACATGGTACCTTTGGAAAAAAAGTGGTACCTTTGCAAAAGAGATTTATTTTTGCAATTGAAAATGGTATTGCACCCCACACCGCTAATTTTCTTGCACATTACATCCATAAATAGCTCCATTAGCGCCATGAATAAGTGTTTAGAGAAAACGTGGTACCTTGACGCCAAAAAGTGGTACATTTAGTTCAATAACATGGTACCTTTGGAAAAAAAGTGGTACCTTTGCAAAAGAGATTTATTTTTGCAATTGAAAATGGTATTGCACCCCACACCGCTAATTTTCTTGCACATTACATCCATAAATAGCTCCATTAGCGCCATGAATAAGTGTTTAGAGAAAACGTGGTACCTTGACGCCAAAAAGTGGTACCTTCAGTTCAAAAATGTGGTACCTTTGGAAAAAAAGTGTTACCTTCGCAAAAGGGATTTATTTTTGCAATTGAAAATGGTATTATAACCCACACCGCTAATTAGGTTGCACATTACATCCATAAATAAATCCATTAGTGCCATAAAGAGTACAAACTTTATTCCAATCTATCTAACTTGAGGGAATGAGTAATACAAAATATAGTCCAACATCAATTAAAACATTACACATAAGCTAATTTTTTTTTTTTTATTCTATAAGATATCCTAGAAACAATTATTCTCTCCCTAATAGGTAAAGAAGCTGCTTTTAAGCCAGTTCCATTATGAAATAGTACTTTGCAAAAAGTTCTCCTTACCTGATTTGTGTCCATAGTTCTTCAAAGTTTTTCTCCCGGAACGGAGCTCTCAACGACTACAACTTCCACCAGCGTTCCTTAAGCAATTTGATAGAGTTTTATCTTCCAAGTCTATAATTAGGAGTTATGCAAGCAAATCGTAGCGGGTTGAAGTGAGAGAGGTTAATAACACAAAATATTTTTACAAGGGTTAGCATGAATTTATGGAAGACAATTCACTAGAGTTCGAAAATTTCCTAGTATCTTATTATATATACTTTTTCTTATATATGAAGGAAGAACATTTGATGGTTGAAGACAATGGCAAGCAGCAAAATCCTATACGTCGGAGGGGTCTCATGGCCTCACGAAATGTCGTGAGGAGTTAAAAATGGAATAGTTTCAAATATGAGGAGTTAAAAATGGAATAGCTTATAATGCTATAATGAATAGAAGCCAAATAATAGCAAAATAAATACAGGGTACATTTGTAAAAACACTTTTGAAACGTTTATTGAGGGAAAAATAAATACACACTTGAACACATTGAAAAATAAATACACACCAAATCTCGATGGAGGTGACGACGATTACATGCCAGGTTAGTTTTACAAAAAAAAATGAACCATCAATGTGAGGAATTATAAATGGAATAGTTTTGAGAACGATTGAGAATGTAAAACAACTACTTTCAATCCATGCATCTCTTAACGAGTACTTTCGTTCTATATACTTTCGATCCATAGATCAACAACTGAGATTTACTAGTGCTAATGTTATGGTTTTGTGCATATGCCATATGTCTATTTATAGAGCCCAATTCACAGACATGTGAATGAATTTTACCCATATCATGATTTGGCAAAAGGGACTTACACATCTCTCTCTTTGGCATGATAGGGGTGTCTTCATAATAGTTGTCGTGTTATACACCTAACACCACTATTTTTAACTTTACCCATGTGATGATAAGATGAGAAAGTGGATTGGTTTTGTGTATCTACAAGAGCTGATTTTTTCAGTGAGAGTCATATTCTGTGACTAGCCATGTGATTGAAAAAAAAGCCAAATAATTTGAAGTGGCCTTACACCATGGCAGATAAAGATGAATGGTCACATCATCAAGAAAAAGCCTTAGTGTCTGAAAAAGTTATAAATAGTGGCATTGTTGTCATGAGGCAGAGTATTGACATCCGTATTTGTAATTACAATTTACTAATCTAAAGTTTTTATTTTAACAAAACTATTATAATGTTAATTTATTTTTTAAATAGATTTCTAAGTGCACTTTGATTATGTAGTATCTTTATTTTTTCTCATATTTGATCAAAGCTATTAAAAAATCTATATGTCAGATGTTGCAGGAATGAGAGCATTTCCATTGCAAAGAAGATGCATAAGGATCCAATTGAAGTTATTCAAGCCATTACTAATGATCCAGACTTATAAGTTGCTTCAGAGTTGTCAGATTATTCAGATACAGGGGATGATGACTTTGTAATTCCACCTCCCCGTTATTGCTAAAAAAAACTTAGTAGTTGAGTTAAATTTTATGCAGTATGTATATGAAATGTATGTATTTTTTATTTATTTTATGCAGTATTTTGTATGAATTCCACCTCCCCGTTATTGCTCAAAAAAACTCAGTCCTTGAGATTTACTAGTGCTAATGTTATGGCATTGTGCATATGCCATATGTCTATTTACAAAGCCCAATTCACAGACATGTGAATGAGTTTTACCCATGTGATGATTTGACAAAAGGGACTTACACCTCTCTCTCTCTCTTTGGCAGGAAGTGGGGTGTTTTGCATAATAGTTCATGCACCTAGCACCACTATTTTTAACTTTAGCCATGTGATGATAAGATATGAAAGTGGGTTGCTTTTGTTTATCTACAAGAGCTGATTTATTCAGTAAGAGTCCCATTCTGTGTCTAGCCATGTGATTGAACAAAAAGCCAAATAATGTAAAACAGCCTTACACCATGGCAGATAAAGAGGTATGGTCACATCATCAAGAAAAAGCCTTAGTGTTTGAAAAAGTTATAAATAGTGCCATTGTTGTCATGAGGCAGACTATTGACATCCCTATTTGTAATTACAATTTACTAATCTAATGTCTTTATTTTAACAAAACTATTATAATGTCATTTATGAATCAAATAGATATCATCATCATTGACAAACAAAAAGTAGCGAAGAAACTACTACCAAAACGTACGAACAAAATAACATACATAAATAAACAAAACCAAGATAAGAGAGCCTAGTGCTAATTTGGGCAGTAGGCAACTTAATTCCGCCTTCTCCTGATAAACAATACTGTTTTCCCATACAATTAATTTGGGTAATGGAGGTCTAAATCCCCGTGACCCGCCTAATTTAATTCCAAAGGTTTTGTATTTTCATGTAAATTTTGGTATACACCCAGAAAGACCAATTAATTATATTGGATTCTCAAGTACAAGTATAATTTAACTTGATTATCAGTGAACAAGATATGTAAGTAGTAATAGACTAAATAGTAAAGGGAACCAAGATCCAGTATAGGATATTTTCAGCAAGGGGTAAGAAAACAAGATCATAAAAGAACTGGACAAAGAAACTGCAACTATATTTCAAGATTAACCAGTTAAACATCACCTTTTGAGTCTTTAATTTCTTTAATAACCCTACTTTGGGATCACTCCTACACCAACACAGTTATTTTATTTTATTTTTTTTTAGTATTTTCTTCAGCAGTATCCTAAAGCCATCATCCATACCAAGACAGTTTTTGGTTTCTTTTAATTTTCTAATACAGTTTTCTAATACAGTGTGTGATTGTTCCAATCAAGAGAACCAACCCTTGAACTATGCCCGTCTTGCAAAGTCCTCAGCTGTTCAGAAAAACCATGAAAAATAGAGTACAGGATGGAGAGGTGGCACCAGAAAAATCAAATCTAATGCCTAGATCATGAGAAATGTGACAATTTGCAATAAATACATTTCATTTCACTCCAAATAAAGAATATAATACTCTTAGTTCTAATATTTGTTTTCTAAAATATAGGCCAACTATACAAGCCATAATCCTTCATAGTAGTTCACTTTATGCATTATATCAGTATAATAAAATCTTCAATGATACATGCCTCATTCAACCTTGCACTTCACCACTAAACTGGACTTTGTTCTCTTCCAAACTAAAAAAAACGTAAAAGAAACTACCAACTTTATCAGAACTTAAATGGGATATAAAAATGCATGTTGTGTTGCATTTAAACCCATGTTTTTCTTTAAGTTTTTCTTTTTCCACACAAAATGCAGTTAAAGAAACTGACAGAAGCCCAATTTCTTTTTCCACACAAAATGCAAGGATCCTCTTCCTGTAAGCTTCTTTGGCTGGAGAGCATGGTGTTGGGCTTTCCTTTCTTACCATCCCACCGTTGAGCATGTAATGTGCAAAATCAAAATCCATTGCAGATCGGTTAGGAATAAACCTATCCAGCTGCCATCCCAAAAGAACAAGATTAGTGTGAATTTCCAATAAAACCTATATATATATATATATAAAGGCAAAATGACAGGAAAAAATCAGCCATAGAGTTTAAAACCCAGGAGCAAGATTAGTGTGAAGCCTATTGCGATGACAAAAGAAGGCAGGCAAAGATATTAAAAAAAAAATTAAATAAATAAAGAGAGTATATTTTGAAATGTAATATTTTCTTTATATGGAACACAAAAACAAAACCTGAAACTATCGTTACTGTCTTCTACAACTATTTTGGTTCCTTTCGAGTAAAAATTCTTTGTAATCCAAGACAATAGGACATATGATAATATTACATTATTATCTATTTTCCTCACTTAGAAACCTAACAACTGGAGAAATGAAAATGCTTACCGGTTCACCTTATAGCCTGTTGGCTTATGGTTTGAATTATAAACCCACTGGTCAAGGTTCGAGACTGGTATATATAGAGAGGAAGCTATATGAGAAGTCACAGATGTTAGATTGTGAATCTTTTGGTCATTCAACCCAATCTTGCTCTTCTAAGCCCACTACTAAGCATACACAAAAATGGAGAATGAAGGAGGACGGCTAGACCTAATTCGAATTAGTGGGAGGAAGTTATAAGGGGAAAAGGGAGAAGTGTTGTGGATCCCCCCAATGAGGAATTGTGAAAGGAAAGCCCTAAAATGGCTATACCTATTGCTTCATTATCAAATATATTTGAATTCACTTCTTCTTTTGATGTGTCTTTGATCACAATCTCATTGCACCTCTCTCAAGAGATTATGGGACCTATTGATTATTTAAACTTTATTGGGTCTATTTCTCTGAATAAAGAAAGAACTACGTAAATCCAAATTTATACAAATAGAAACAAAAACATATTGAGTGTGTTTTCCCTGAATCCTCATGTTGAATCCCATGGAAATCCAAACCAAGAAACCTACAGGACTATGACTTAAAAAATTATCTAATGATGTCAAAAATTCTAGTCGTGCAGAATCTATACAAGTTGAACAAATAAACCCTAAATTCCTGAAAACTCATATTCGTAGACAATAAACCATCCAAATATGCTAAAGAAACCCTTACGTAAAAAAAAATCAAAATCCAAGAAATTAATGGGAACATCAACCACAAAAATCTAAAGATATTGCAAACAACACTAGATATCGTCTAAAAAAAAGAAACATTCAAATAGTAGACGAAGAAACCGTAGTTCACAGTAAATCCAAAAGTCCAACAAATTCACGAAGACAAACAAAAGAAAGAAAATCAAAAGGAATTCGATACAAAAGCTAAAAGAATTTAAACTTTTCTCGTTTTCTTGAATTCATTGCAACGAAACAGAAAGCCGAAAATATCAATTGGTTGGCGAACATACATAAACACACACAAGCAGATGGAAACACATACTTTTTCGCACAAATTTTGCCTTCGAAGTTTCTGATCGGAGAGAGGGAATCGCGACATTTTTGTGTCCAATTCCTGAATCCAAAATTGATGTTTTAGGAACAGCATATATATATATATATATATATATATAGGGATCAAAATTGTATAAAAACAGAGTAGAAATCCTAGCAAAACGATGAACAAGACTAGAGAGAGAGAGAGAGAGAGCAAGAGAGCGTTGATGAATGAGTTGGGTTTAAGAGAAAATTAGCAAAACCTCCACATATCAACATGTACGAAGAACGTGAGAACTTGCATTAACTCATTAAACAACATATCAACAACTTCTCCTCCACAACAATCAATCAAAACCTCCACATACGATGATCCCATACTCCCATGCTTTCAACATTTTAAAACAAGAAAAAAAAAAAATGGCCTCCACATGGGCCGATGTAGCAATAAGGTAATAAAGTTCAAGATACACCATAAAATTGGTCACTTAAAGGCATGTGACCCCCCCCGAGTATGAGTATAAAAAGCATTACAAATGTGCAATCATAAAAGATTTTTATCGAACATAAAGACCATATAACTTACAAATTTGATGTACTTGATAGCCATGCAATCGACGCTCCCGTTGTTATCTCTTCCCAGCCCCTAGCGGGAAGACTACATTTGAAGTACATGCAAATCAATTAAACAAAATATAAAACCAAAATATTGTACAAGTGGAGATGGTTAAATGAAAAAACTCAAAAATAAGGGACATATGAGCAAACAACTTTTTTATTAGGCGCTAGTAACCAAAAGCAAGACTCTAAACAAAATAAATAAATAAATGGGGTAACAGTAGTCAACTAAGATTATAGCAAAATCCTTTTTATTATTGTTTATTTATTTTTTTATTCTATCAAACATGATTGGACAATTTGGACAACAAAAAATCAGAAGGAAGCCCAAAAATCTATTTGAAACAATTTTTCCCAGAAATACATACTTCCCTTTGAAAAATCAATAAAAAAGAAATTCTCAAACAATTTGCATGAAACCAAGTCCATTGGAAGCTTAAACACACAATTTTTCTTCTATCAATTTAAATCAATAAATTTTCTTACCGATTAAATAAGGTTTGAAGGAAAAGATAGGAAAAATTCTGCTTACAAAACAAGGATCACAGCATGTTAAGATTAACTTCAAAAATCCATACTAATTTCAAAATCCAATCAATTTGAGCCAAAACAAAAACCTGTAAACTCATTAATAATAGCTGATATCACATAATTTGAAGTGATTATTGTCAATTATGCTCGTGAGTTTGAAACGTATTCGTTCACGTGATCTTTTGGACATTTAATAGAGAAACAAACAAGTCTTTTTCTTTGTCATTGTATAAAAAAGAACAAGTGATAAATACCAAAAAGTGCCATACATACCTCATCGGTTCGCAACACAACAAATTGGTCTCTGCTGGTTATATGTGACAACACCTCACTTCAGGGACGGATATAAGTCCAAAATCCTTAATAAAGTAGTCCCCAAAGGCTCTAGACATTGCCAATCTGGGGCATTCCTCATTCGGCAGCCAAATTTTATGCACCACAGGCTTGTCGTTTAAACTGAACACTCTTCCTTTGTACTGATTTATCCATTCAGCCTCATCTGTCAAACAATGTTGATAATGTAAACACAATGTTCATATAATTTTTGAGACACAAAGAAAGTGAGGAAGAGAGAGACTCACGAGGTAAATTGTGGTTGAAATAACAGTCATAATGCAGTAGGGGAGCTCCAAGGAATTAATAGTGAGGAAACAAGTCATAATGACTTTAATATGATGTTATTTTCCTAGCCTTCCGTAAGCATGTAACATGTAAGCCCGTCCATTGTCACATAATCCCATAACCTCCTTGCTTTCACGACCCTCCAGCTGCCAGAAAACTCACACACCTATGATTTTTAAATAACACTCCACATGAGACTCATACGAGGACCCAGGAAAATAATTTCAATACCAAAATAAACCACCAGACGAATAATACAGATTCAACTTAGAATAAGTTACATCATACTTAGAAATGTTTTCTAAATAAGTTAGAAATACTATCACAACATAGTTATACTAATGCAGTAGGGGAGCTCCAAGGAATTAATAGTAATTACAAAATAATTCCATATTTAAGGCCTTAACACCTTACAAAATAACTCCACTAGAATTAGCAATTATATAACTATTCTATCCAAGTATAGGAGCCTTGCACTTTCGACGATTATGACCATTCTCGCCGCATCGCGAACAGTGTAACGACCTTACATTTTGAAATTGTGATTCGATTCGTTTAATACGAGGTCGTCCAGGGGGACGTGTTACCGCAGGAGGCCTAAGATGGGAAGCACCTTCACCGTCAGCAGCAGCAACAGCAGCTGCATTTGGCATATCATGCATGGGGACAGAAGACATGAGATGTTCACATAGTTTTTGTTGTGTTTCAACCCTAAACCATGGATCAACCATCTCATAAATATTTAAAGATAATTCATGGATGGCATAGCATGCATGCGAACAAGGAATCCCACTTATGGTCCACTTCAAACAACTACAAGAATTTTCACTGCCAAATACCACCCTGAATGGTTTTCTGTCTCGATCATATATTGTACACTCAGTAGGCGAAACACGCATCGACTGAAAACCAAGAGCTAACTCTTGCTCTTTTTTTATTTTCTCCTCAATACAATCCCCAACCGGGATAGTCCACTTCTGAACGTCCAAACTCTTTTGGTATAAAAATTTGCTGAGTCTTTGCATGTGTGTATCCATCAACCTTGTGATTGAAAAAACCCTCTCTTCTTTCACCCATGCATTGAAGGACTCTGCTTGATTGGTGTATAATTTATCCCAACGCTTGGAAGTAAACATAGCATTTGACCAATGTTCAGGTGAATTCGCCAAAACCCAATCGCATAACTCCCCTCGAAATACCCGCATGGCAGCCAATGCATTCTTATACTCATCTACAGTTCGAGCATATGCAATTTTATCGAGTAATTTTTTCGCATGCTCTTTACCCGAAGCCCTCAATCCTAAACTTTGTCTCCCAAGAATGGATGTAGAAAAATTCGCCGTTAGGTGACGAAGACACCATGAGTGGTACTGGGAGCCAAAAATATCTCTAATACAACTTATTAGGCTCGGATGCCTGTCGGTTAAGATTGTCACAATGCGACCATCTAGAATCTCTTTCACCTTGCTCAAGAACCAATGCCAATCATCATCATTCTCAGAAGAAATAACAGCATACGCCAAAGGCCACAAGCCATCATTCGCATCGAACCCCGTTGCACCAAGCATTGTTCCTTTATAATTGCCACTCAAGTGGCAAGCATCGATTGCTAACATGGGCCTGCAATAGTTGATGAAACCTTGTATGGAGCACCCATAAGCTACAAACACTCGCTTAAATCTTCTATCATCCGTGCACTCCCACGATGTAATTGTCCCAGGAATATATTCTGCTATTCGTTCACACAACCACGGGACTAAAATATAGCTATCCTTGGGATTTCCCTCAATGATATGACGTGCACACTCCTTAGCTCTCCACGATTGCATGTAAGTCATTTAAGCAGAAAATTCACCGTTTATGTCTGTGGAAATAGTCTTGGGGGTGCATTTAGGATTGTCCCTAACCTTGTTCACAATAGCTCGACCCATTTCCTTCGACCAAAAAATGGCTTTATAATCTGAAATGTCTTGAGCAGTGTGAGTGTGAACATTATTAAACCGCTTGATTCTCACTATATCACCACTTCCTTCACAACCAGCTGATAATTTCCATGGACAATTATTAACCTCGCACACAACTCTATAATATTTTCTGCTATTGTCCAAGTACTTGAACCGAAAATGATTACGAAGACCAAACAAAACGAGTGCATCTTTGAAATCATTTGGGCTGTCAAAAAGCTGATCCACGCAAAGAATGTCATCAATGTGTCGGAAAGAATCCCGATGCGCATTTATCGGAGGAAATGAAGACGTTGACGCAACACTTTGTAGAAGACCAATTGGCGATGTGGCTTCAACAAATTGTCTACAAGTGGATAAAAAGGTATATTAAAAATCACATAACCTATGCAGCGCATACATCAATGTATTACTTTAAATATATGTGTCTTACCTCTCACTATGATCAGTAGGAATTGTGCATGATGCAATTACAGGCTCTGCATCTTCCATATACACATTTAGCATGGGACCACTCACTAGAAGCATCACTCTAAATCCAGATTCTCCAGTCATCCTCAAAAGTTCATTCTTGTTAGATTCGGTGGTATAATATATGACTTTACCACTCATGTTTGAAGATGAACGTTGTTGTAACTCATTTATAAATGATTCGTATGTTGTTGTTGTTGTTATCATAAAAGGGTCTGTGACACCGCCGATGTATATAATTTCCCCATTCTCATTTTTGTCAATTTTCCCATCAAATCGACAATAGCATATAATTTGTCTCTCATCCATTTGTCCAACTGCTTCGAAAATTGACTCATTAGTTTTAAAAAAAAAACTAAATATGAAGTTCAAAAAAAAATGAAATATAAAACAATTAAATATCATAATTATATAATGTAATTTAGAGATCTATTTACACCGAAACACTACTAATTCCCTCAATAGGGATAGGCGGTGTCAAGATTAAACTTTTCCTAAACACACACTACAGACCTTTTTCAAATCAAAATACAACCACAAAATCAATGCCATTGATTACTAGATAATTGTATCACTATGTGTACAACAAACATATATACAAGATGAGGGAGATTATGAGATGAATAGAGAGTTAAATGGGACAATATAGATTGAAAATAAAAAATTGAGAGTTAAATAGAGAGAGAGCAGAGTGTTGAATATTTTTCACACACAAAAATTATATGTGTAAGTCTTGAAAATGGGGGAGACAAGTACAAGGGAATGTTGGAATAATAAATTAATACTAAATACATTTTTTTGATAAATTAATGCTAAATACATATATTAAAAAAGCCTCATTTATAGAGTTTGCTAGCTTTTGCATCAATTCTATCATGTGCGTAGATGCCTAAAGACATATTACACAGAGGTATACTCTACATGCCATTTGAGAAAGAGGCAACAATCTTGAATAATTCTTGATCTAAATTGAGTTATAATAATTAATTATACATAAAAACTAATTGGACTACCTATGTGTTGGTGGCTTTGAATTTTAACTCCTAAATTCCTACGTTCTGCTGAGGATTTAGTCTGCAGTCATCAAAGAGCCTTGAATATATAGCTTGAATACAGATATAGCTAATTTAGTCTGACTCTTTTTGTAGGAAGATACAGATATAGCTGATTTTACATAGATATTATTTTCTAACGGAGTGAATTGATACTACTCATAGCTATCGACCAATATTGTGGTGTGTATTGGTTGTAACTGACAATGTGAATTTAAAATTTCAAATGGATATAACCATGGTCAGTATTAATGGTTTTAACTAAATTTTGATATTTCCATTAAAATGGTATCTCTCTTTGATTTTGGATCATGTGTGTGGTTATTAAATTATGTGTTGATTTGTAAGGTTGCTTTCAGATTTGGACAAAAATAAAATGAAAGTCTTGATAGTTTGTTGATGTAATGAGCTTAAAATTTTAAAATTATATGCTTTGAATATATATCTATATCAGTCCATGGCAACTACTGCTTAATGATAAATAAGCCGTGAAACTACTTTGATCATATGGAGCTTATTAGTTGCATCATGATTACTACTAGTTTTGTGTATGTGTTCCATTATGTACTAGTTAATGTGTGGTATTTAGGCTTATGGCCAGTGTGTGTGTGTTAAAATCATGTATAAACATACATATATATGACAAAGTCGTGTTATGTTTAAATATTTCAGCCTAACTCTTGTAAAAATTAGAACAAATTCATGTTGGTTTGGATGACTCCTAAAGGTTTTTTTTTTTGGAAGATTAAACAAGTATTATTATACCATTTCTCTCATTCCTTCTCTTTCTCCTTCCAAATCGAGGTACGTTAGGGTTTTTTCTCCCCTAATGGCACACGTGTTCTATGGACCTGTATTAGAGTATAGTTCACACTATGATTCTTAAGATTGATGTGCTTATTGACGGTCCAGTGCTGTTTCAATCTCCTCCTAACAGCACTTAACATAATCATAAACTAGATTTAGCTCAGCCATTTTGTCTTGAAGTTTTTCCTCAGTCTCATTGGGAAGCTATTCATGTAGTGGCTGAAATATGTTTGTTTTTTTATGATCCAAACACACTCAAACAAACAAGAACAGTGACCAATAGCTAGCCGCAGAAGTTACAATAGGTGTAGCTAGCCTATGACAAGTGTGTTTGTGTTAAAATCTAGGTCATACAATTCTTTTTAACAGGTGTAAATCTAGCTCCCATTCTCACGATTTGTTTGTAATTTAATTTTGTTGCTTTTGCGCTCTATCTACCACTTTATGCGACTTAGTATAAAACCAAATATAAATATTAACTTACTGAATTTTTCTGTTACTATCAAATACCATTAAAGCAAAATTACAAAATTAGACCCTCCCTCACAAGAAACAAAATTTTAAGAATTTATTAATCACTCTAATCGATTGTAATAGGCTGCCAACATAGTTAATTGAGAGTCGATAATTCAAAGAGCATTTCATTTTATTTTTGTCCAAAGCTGAAAGCAACCTTACAAATCAACACATAATTTCATAATCACACACATGATCCAAAATCAAAGAGAGATACCATTTTAATGGAAATATAAAAAAATAAGATGTTTGGATACAATTGAAAATCAAAAAATAAAAGTACATGAAGCACCAGATTTAAAATTAGATTCCTCATAAGTACAAATAATTCTTTGAGACTACGCTTTCATGAGTACAAATAATTCTTTGGGAGCCCCGAGAATTAGTGGGGTAAAACCATGTATATCTCGATTGCGAGAAAAATATATAATGCAGCTAAAAGAGCATAGGCAGATTTAATAAAGCAATCCCCACAAAAATCTATAAACTCTACCATGTTTGAAGGCTTTTCTCTTAAAAAAGACTTTAGTAGTACTAAACTTATCTGTTTCCCATTGAAAACTTTAAATCACCCATTAGCTATTTTGATTTTGATTTTGATTTTGATTCCTTTCCTAGTGCAAAGACATGTAGTATCCGTATTCACCTTCACATAAAGGTGGTGTCTTTGGTTTGATTGTAGTGCCAGAGTTTTGGACCAAAAAAATCATATCCACCTCAAAGAGAGAGAGAGAGCTCTCTCATGTAGCCTTTTCAAAACAGAGCAAAATACAAAGAAATATTGTCAGTGTTCCCTCAACCTCTTCACTCCTCATTTATGAAACCTGTCTTTCTTTATTTATTTGACATCAAAGCTCTATCAAGTGAAATTCTCAACTCAACTCACAATATTATATATATATATATATATATATATATATATATATATATAAAATATGTTTTTGGAGTAAGTGTTGTGATTCTGTACACAATAGGAGATTATTTATTATCTATTATTAGAAAATCGAACAGATAAAATGAGAAACTTTGGGAATACCCCCCCTAAGGTAGTGTGTTTAATTGTGGCATTCATATTAAGTCATCAATTTAATATGTATGTTCCACAATATATTTATATATATGTACGGGTGTAGAATATATTAGATAAAAAAGTAGTGTTACTCTTCAATTTATACAAAAAGTAGTGTTACTCTTCAATTTAGTTCTAACTTCTATTTCTACTTTGATTCCAAATAATGCAAAGAGGTGTCATATTCTGATCTGGTATAGAGAATGCTACTCAAAACCTAATTCTCAGAAAGCTTAATTTCTCTATTAAGCTCTCCTCTTCGCACTTCTTCAGCTCTCACGGCTGTTGGGGAAGTTCTTGAAAAATCGGCAAACTCTCTCTCATCTCCCAGAGAAATGCTGCCCAGAATTGACGAGAGTGGCAGGTTTTGCAGCCCCAGAGCCGCCAGAGAGATCACCTTCTATGTCCCCCTCTTACCAATTTTTGTTTTTCTGTGTGTGTATATATATAGAAAGTTCGGGCTATTTGTTTTCGTTCTTTGATGGGTTGAAAATTGCTTGAATTTCAATGTCAGGATAATTATTTATGCGGCGTGTTTGGAGGGTTATGACCCAATTCGGCTATTCAAGAAGAGAATCAACGCCCGAAGAGGTATTAGTATTACCAATGCTATGTCTTGTTTTATGACAATATGTTTATCTTTTTGGGTTTTTCTGCATCCCTTTTGATAAAACTGAATAAGTACTTAATTTATTTATTTATTATTATTTATATAACTGGTGTTTAGATAACTACCTACTGCTTTATATTTTCTCTTTTTCATCTCGTTAGAAACTAAATAACTTCCAAAGCATCAGTCTTGGACAGAATTTTGATCGAAATTTACTTCTTTCTTTCATTCTCTCTTTCTTTTCCCGTAAATACAATTTAGACGTAAAGGTCATATAACAGTTTTCCCATTATTGTTCGTGTCTTGTATTTTCAACTGAATTTGGGCTTAGGTATAAAGCAGCTTGCACTCTTCACCGGTTGGGGGGGGGGGGGGGGGGGGGCGCGGGGGGAACTTGTAAGCATATCTAGAAATTTGTTGTTTAAAACCATTCAAATTTCATGAACAGATGGTAAAGAAATCTTTTCCATTTCTGGTCATTGCATGGCAATATCTTAGACTAAATTTTTTAATCGTTTAAAAATGTTAACATATTCAATCAGTCTACTAAAAAGAATTATTTATCTAATTTATTTAAATGTTGGTAATTATCAGACACCAAGGCCATCACTGACATGCTCTAAAATGCTATGTTTCCCTAGTGAAAACATTTACCAAAGACTTCCAACCTTGTAAGCTAAGGCACAAATCATAGCATAACCATGAAGATTTGTTACTTCATCTCTGAGTCACAGTCCAAAGATCCAAACAGAGTAGCTTCTTCCCTTTTGTTTTATATTGAGAACTAAAATCTTTATTAGTGATTCTTAACACCCAAGATATTAATCATGAAATTATTATAAAGCATTTTCATTTAATTGAACCAAACTCAAATTTTATATTTAATTACATTTCAACCACTAAACCACAACAAATATAGTATGTATGAAAAACTTGTTTTTTATTTAATATTGTAGAACCAATACTAGTAATCTTAAACAATTCTTTTACTAAGCAAATGCAAATGGGAATGTAGATTTCACAAACATTTGATAACAAGTGTCCCTACCCAAAGACTATCACATGCATGCCTCTTTACAGTTTACATTTATTGATTGTATCATAAGGTCTCCAGAGCAAATGACTTATGAAGATAGGATTTAAGCTTGTTACCTTGGCACAAGCTAGTTAGCTAACTAGTGAAATCCAACAAAAAGCCTGTAGGCACCACACGTACTGCCACTTGCTTCCACATGGTCCTAGTAAATTTAAAGAACATGAATTATTTGGATTTAGGGACATTGAATCTCTACTATACACAGGTAGGCATTAACAGTACAATGTTTAAGTTTTAAGATCAGATTAATGTTCTATAAAAAAAAATTCAGCAGGTAACAAAGGACATGCATGGAAATTTGTTTTTTATCCTGTTTAATTATGTTTTCTTCAGTAAATTCCGAGTATTTTAAGTATGAAAACCCATGCTAGTGGAAAGATTGTAGGATAACATTTGGGATTTCAGTTCAGTCAACGTATAAAGAAAGCATGAACTCTTCAAAAACAAGCAAACCTAATTACAAAAGAAGAAGAAGAAAAATAAAAAATAAAAAATAAAAAATAAAAAAAACATTTGATTAATTAAGTATCTACTTTATGAAAATTTTGCCTTTGTTGGTGGGATAAAACTGAGTTTTAAAAATTAATTTTGTCACGCACAAGAGAGCAACATTTTGTTACGCACATTTCAAACATATACAACAAACAGAGCAACAACAATCTTGATTGCAGAATAGAAATTATATATATATGATTGCATAATAGAAATTATAAGAGGAGAATATATATAAACATAACCTACATGAAAATCAGACATCCAATTGGAAAAAAAAAAAATTATAACACTAAATCAGGACCATAATCATCTAAAAAATAAACGTGTGTGTGTTAAGAGGGAGAGAGTACTTACCATATTACTAGAACAACAATAAATGAATGGCAGAAGTGGAGAAGTGCTTCGCTGGGTTACAGAGAGGGCGCACCAACGACGGTTAGACGTGGAGAAGTGCTTTGCTGTTACAGAGGGGGAAAGAGAGAGGGCTTGAATGAGGGTTAGGGCTCAACGGCTACGCTTCAATCCTGTTATAGAGATGGGGGGAGAGAGAGAGAGGGCTCTTAAGGGCTCTTCACGAATGAGATGAGGGAGGGTTAGGGTTCCATGTTCGGTGATGCTGTGTTTGCCTGGGCTTGCTTCGCTGGATTTGTGACGCACGACTGTGTATTTTAGGGCAACAATGCTTTAGAGTTGAGTGACTAAATTAAACGGGGGCAATAAGGTAAATGTGCTGGAATAGTGAGAAGGGCATTTTAGGCACCACAAGTTTTAAACAGTAATAATTCATGTGCCATGTCATCAATTTAGTCAACCTCATTTTTAAGAAATATGAGACTTTGACTCAGCCTCTTGGTAAATATGAAACCCTAACCCCATTTATATGTAATAATCCCTAATTTTAAGGTAAAAATAACTTGAAATTTTATCTTTTCTTTTATCTTACGGAATCCCACCACCTCTTCCTCTGGTTCACTTTTTTTCCTTCCTTCCCAAATGGCAACAACTCTTTCGTTGTACTACTTTTTTTATTTTTGTTCTTCTTGTGTTGTTTTAGAATGGCATCATAGCTACAAGAGGGAAAGCGATGCTACCCACTCTGCCGCATTCTTCCCTCCAAAAATTCCCGTTCCATTCTTCCCTCCAAAAATTCCCGTTCCACCATCAGGGCCCAGAAAGCAGCATAATTTTGTTTCGAGGTTGCGTTTCATTGCAACACTAGTATATGGTTCAAAACGCCTTATTCCATCCAGCGTGAATCCCGGTGGAGTGTTATTTGTAGCGACTGCAAATATTGGGTGGTCCTGAACAAGAGGTTAAAGAGTCCCCTATTGCAACAATGTTGGAACCTGCTTTCAATAGTATGCATTGGTGGTCTCTGCTACCGGATTGACCAGTGCAGTGCGGGGTGGAACTAGAAATTCGGTATTAAAGTGGATAAATTATATTTTTTTTAAGGACGTCGTATTAAAGAGGATAAATTATATTTTTTTCAAATGAATAATGACGCAAGACAATAAGCCGAAAAATAGAACTCTAATAATAGTAGAATAATAACATTTAATAATTTAAAAAATAATTATTTAAAAAAAAATGAAAACATAAAATACCGACCTTAAGAGTACTTTTAGCAACAAATTTAATTACCAAACTTTGAAGAGAGAAAAAAAAAAAAAAAATTAGTTTGAATAAAGGAATGCAACTTTTTTATTTTAAGAGAATATAAAAAAAGAAGAAGAAGAAAAGTAAGAATGAAAAGAAAGGAAAAATTAAAGATATTTAAAAAAAAAAAAAAAAAAAAAAATTATAGGCCTATTCGCAATAAAAACTAACTGGCCCAAGGGTAAATAATTATTTTAGGGGGCATTTGTGTAATAAAAATTAATGGTTGTTTTCTAGAAAAAAAAATTTTATTTTAGGGGGCCATTTTGAAAACTTTTATAAATCATAAACCAATTTGTAATTAAAACTAATGAGCTAGCATGGGTCGGACTGCTGCTCCTCCCCAGAGTACAAAGTATATGACCATTTTTGAGCTAATATTTTCGGTTGGTTAGCTTACAAATGTCCCATTGTTTCTACTAAAGACATGTAAGTACCAATTATTGCAGAAATGGAGACAGGATGTAAGGTAAGGAAGCAATAATTATTTTTTTAGTAATTTTAGGAGGAGCAAATGTAATATTTTATAAGTATAATACTGAAAATAAACAAATTATAAGAATATATTACTAAAAAAAAAAAAAAATCATAAAATCGATGTTGTGAGACTTAGAAGAGCTTCAAACATGAGATATCCAAACAAAAAAAACATGGGACAGAGAGCTACAATTAATAATGGTGTTGATTATAAAGGTGGTTATGGTGTAATCGATGGGTTGGAAAAATTAAAAATGTGAAATAATAGAGATCAGACATGTTGGCTAGAAATGAAGTACACATGTATGCCGGTGGTGTAAAAATAATGTACTGGTTGTGATTGAGCATGCCATCAATTTCTTGGTTGAAGATTGAATTTGTTCTTCTGCTGTTGAAGGGTCATATATTCATGGCAGATTAAAAAGGAACATGAAGTAGTCAAAAAAAGTAAAAAATGCCAAAGAGAGAGAGACAAAATAAGAATTCACAAATGGTGAGAGAGAGAGAGAGATATATATATATATATATATATATATATGTGCAAAGTGTTTCAGTATTTAGTATTTCAGTATTTATTTATTAATTGATATAAATTCTATAAAACTCAAAATTACCTAATAAAATTAAAATTAACTTAAATTAACAAAATATAAAAATAGTTTAATTCCAATTACAAAATCCCACATTGGTTTTAAGTAAAAAGGATTACATGAAAGTCTCTTATAAAAGTATAGAGCTAAATAAATAATAATCACACCTTCTTGGCCTTTTGGCTAAGATTAAGTGTAGTACTAAATTTTTTTTGGTCAGCCTTTTGGCTAATCTTTCTTGGTCTTTTGGCTAAGATCAAGTGTAGTACTACTTTCTTGGCCTTTGTGCAAAGAGTTTTCAGTATTTATTTATTAATTAATATAAATTATATAAAACTCAAAATTACCTAATAAAATTTAAATTAATTCAAATTAACAAAATATAAAAAGGGTTTAATTCACAATAAAGAGCTCTCATTAATTATTATATCCCACGATAAATATAATAGTATTTTAGTATTTAAATTACCTAATAAAATTAAAATTAATTCAAATTAACAAAATATAAAAAGAGTTTAATTCAAATTACAAAGTCCCATATTGGTTTAAAGTAAAAAAAGATTACATGAAAGCCTCTTATAAAATTATAAAGCTAAAGAAATAATATTCACACCTTCTCAGCTTTTTGGCTAAGATCAAGTGTACCCTTATTAAAAGATGCTCATTAGTGAAGAAGAGACAACTAAAAGATTGTATTTCTTTCAAATATCTCAACAAAAACTAGACTCCAATAATTCAAGCCTACAATTTTCTCAGGATCGTTGGAATAAAATCTGAAAAAGTAGATATTTTGTTTAAAATATTGTTCTGTTATATATGGCGTAGTCTCGTACCTAACGCAGTTAACTAACTAAGATCTTTGGGAAAAATCTGTGGACAAAAAATTCACCATATTTGATATATACATACAAGAAAACAATTTACTTGAAACATGTTTTCAATCCATTTGCCGCACAACCAGAATCCTGTAGTTATTATTATTTAAATAGAACTTCTCTTTGCTGAAAATTATTGGGTCGGCCTTTTGGCTAACCTTTCTTGGTCTTTTGGCTAAGATCAAGTTCAATATTTCAGTATTTATTTATTAATTGATATAAATTCTATAAAACTCAAAATTACCTAATAAAATTAAAATTAACTCAAATTAACAAAATATAAAAATAGTTTAATTCAAATTACAAAGTCCCACATTCGTTTTAAGTAAAAAAGATTACATGAAAGCTTCTTATAAAACTATAGAGTTAAAGAAATAATAATCACACCTTTTCAGCTTTTTGGCTAAGATCAAGTGTAATACTAAATTTTTTTGGGTCGGCCTTTTGGCTAACCTTTCTTGGTCTTTTGGCTAAGATCAAGTGTAATACTATTTTCTTGACCTTTGTGCAAAGAGTTTCAGTATTTATTTATTAATTGATATAAATTCTATAAAACTCAAAATTACCTAATAAAATTCAAATTAACAAAATATAAAAAGAGTTTAATTCACAATAAAGAGCTCTCATTAATTATTATATCCCACGATATATAGAATAGTATTTCAGTATTTAAATTACCTAATAAAATTAAAATTAATTCAAATTAACAAAATATAAAAAGAGTTTAATTCAAATTACAAAGTCCTACATTGGTTTTAAGTAAAAAAGATTACATAAAAGCCTCTTATAAAACTATAGAGTTAAAGAAATAATAATCACACCTTCTCGGCCTTTTGGTTAAGATCAAGTGTAGTATTAAATTTTTTTGGGTCGGCCTTTTGGCTAACTTTTCTTGGTTTTTTGGCTAAGATCAAGTGTAGTACTACTTTCTCGGCCTTTATGCAAAGAGTTTCAGTATTTATTTATTAATTGATATAAAATCTACGTAATAAAATTTAAATTAACGTATTTATCTATTAATTATTGTGAATTTTTTAATAAAAGAAAATCTAATTAGACAAAAATTATTAATATAAAAAATATTTATTAATTGATATATAAAATAAAATAATTTTTATAAAACTCTACCACAAATAAGCTTTTATTATGAGTTTCTTAATAAAATTAAATCTAATTAGACAAGGATATATTTAAAGAAAATAAAATAATTTCTATAAAACTCTATTACAAATTACTTATTTTATTTTCAATAAAACTCTATCAATAAAAATATATTTAAAGAGATTCTATAAAACTCTAACACAAATTACCTATTTATCTATTTATTATAAGTTTTTTAATAAATGGAAACCTAATTAGACAAGAATTATTAAAATAAAAAATATTTATTAATTGATAGAAAAAGAGTTTTTAAAAGAGTTTATATTAAACTTTAACACAAATTACCTATTTATTTATTTATTTATTATAAGTTTTTAATAAAATAAAATCTAACAAGACAAGAATTCTTATTATAAAAAATATTTTTTAATTGATATAAAAAATAAAATAATTTTTCTAAACCTCTAACACAATTTACCTTTTATTATGAGTTTTTTTTTTTTTTAATAATAAAAGATAATCTAATTAGACAGGAATTATTAAAATATAAAAATATTTATTAATTCATATAAAAAGAGTTTTAAAAATATTTTCTATAACACTCTAACACGTATTACATATTACAATTGTTTAATAAAAGAAAATCTAATTTTCAGAGTAAAATACAGAAGCTCTACCAAAGTATTTCAGAATTTATATATTTATATAAAAAATATTTATTAATTGATATAAAAAGCGTTTTTATCTATACTACTATTAAATATTCAAAGAGTTTCAGTATTTAAGTATCTATTTATATTAAAATATATT